TCATTAAAAAATTTTTGGAAAACTCAGATTGGAAAGTGAACGCTTTCTAGCTCGCTTTGAAGCTATCAGATGTTTGATTGATCGTTTCGAGGTCATGGTGTCTTGCACCCGAGTCGTTGAACTCGTTCCAATAACACTCACGACGCTTTGAAGTTGAAAATACACCGGTGCCACCGAAAGAGAAACATCGATGACCTTTAACCGACCTTGAAACCAACATCAAACGTAAAATCCGTTTCCATCGCGGATCAACGTTTCCCTTTGACATTTTTTCCTGCGTTCGATCCTGGCGAACATGTTTCACGTCGTTACGTTTCCCCGTGACTTGATCTATATGTATATCGAGCCTAAAAATACGATCCAGCAGAAGTCTTGGTACGCATCGACTAATAGAACATCGATTTCACGAGGGCAGGGGGACGGTCCAGGGGTCGAATTTTAATTATCCTCACGTTCCTGGCAATTAGTAGGGGACGATCGAGAAGAATCGTAGTCGTTCGCGTTCTATTATTTACTTTAATTAACAAAGGAAAAAGAACCGGGGTGAAATGCGAAGGCTGAGGGAGGCGTTAAAGGCGGTCGTTATCGTTTTCATCGTATTCGAGGGTAGTTCGACACCTTGGTAGGCCAGTGTTCGCCAAAATGGAGGCCACGATTCCAAAATAGCTTTTAATTAAATACTACGTCTCCAAGAGCGGTTCTTCGAAGCTTCAGAATAGAACAACTAAGTTGCATGGATGTTATACAATTTTGAGAAATATAAAATTGTAGTGGGGGATAGAATTTCTTTCTTAATTCATATCTCATGAAAGTGGTAACGTATGACGAATTAAAATAGAATTTCAGTCGTCTGTTAAATTGAATAGTGGTCACATTAGGTCTTAGCTGTCTTTTCGTTGATATTTGAGTTGTTGGTTGTTGTAAAATGGGATTGAGTTTAAATAAGTTTTTTTTTAGGGTTTTAAATTCCACTTGGGCCCTGTTGAGAGGGTACAACGCGTCAGTGAATATTCCTGGCATACGCGATGACACCTATAACGGTTGACGAAACCTACGGTAATTTCCTTGCCGCTTTGCCTAGCAGCGATCCCGCGTCCGTTATTAGCAATATAGGTCAGTGCTCGTTATCGACACGGCCGTTCAAACTGGCTCATCTATCTAGGATAGTATGCATGCAAATAGTCCAACGTCCGACGCACTGTTTCGTACGAGTGTGTTTGACAAGACGGCTCCCCACGGGGAAGAACCTGGCAGATCCACGTGGAAAACGTCCTCGTAACGGCGAATCCAGTTCCCTGGGATCTCCTGCTGAAATTAACACCTCCAAGACTAACCTAAGCCACTTCTTTGCTTGGACAATCTACGATAGAGTGGACTCGACGCCATCTTATTCGAATTAATAATTACCACGACTAGAAATTTATTTAAGATTCAAGTCGCGATTTCGTTCGTCGAATCTGAAAAGAAAGAATCGTTAGCGTAATAGTAATCGATTTCTGCAATGGAAATAGACCGAGACGGGTAACATTTACAAATTCTAATCAAAAGTTAATGAATATTCTCGGACCGAAATTTAGATATAAATAGTATGTTTCGGTATTGATCTCACGACCCAAGAAGAAGTCTACATTTATCTCATTCTATTTCTTGGAAATAATTTTTATTCCTCGTTTTGATATCAAATCAGAAACTGGTCTCACGAATCTGTCTGGGTTGGAAATAAATATTGTTAGTTTGTTGCTTCTGGAGAGACCCTCTCTTATGCAGGATGTTTGAAGGATCGACGTTTTCGATAAAGGCGCGAATATTTTTGAAATATCCGAACGGCGTTCGACGAAAACGACGCTCGCGAGCTTTGAAGTATCGTTATTTGGGGCCCGTATTTTTCGAAGACACAGTTTTCCCGGACGTGGAGGGTCGATTAACGATATATAAAAGATTAGTTATCGTGAGATCGGACCTTCTGTTCCAGCCAGTCCCCAGAGGCAACTCTGGCTCGTAAACGTCGCCTTGAAAGACTTGTAACTGCCATAAACCCGGGGAACGTGTGAACGTGGAAACGCTGCACGGCGCACTCGAGGTCTGAACATTCCTTCGAAATCAATGCACGAATGTCTAAAATGTCTGCTCATCGATAATGCAAATTAAATTTCTTATGACTGGGTCTGAGGATTTAGAGATCAGCATCTCCTATCGAGTCTCTTTTCTCTCTTTAGAATACAATTTTCAATCACAAAAGTCAATTAGATTTGACGAATGAAGCTGGTGACAGATAAACTTTTACAACTTTATCATTTTGAAAGATCTTTCAATTTGTACGCGCCGAGATATCAAATGGAAGATCATTTCGATGCTCGACACGTGTAAGAAGAATATCTCGTGGTTCTTTACATTCAATCCGGATCGACTGCTGTGCTTCTTTACTTCTTACTCGCTTCTCAATTTCTTCGTATTTATCTCCAGATTCAGCGGCAAGTTTCAAGGGGAATTTCGTGACGAGCTTAAGCGCGTCTACGCTGCGTTCTGCATTCACAGTAAACAGGTAATCCCTCAATCGACTCATGAGAAATTTCTAGTCCGATGGACGTGAAACGAGAAAACAAAAACACCTGGAAATTCCTTCCACTCGGTTACAGGAGCAAACGTAAAATATTAGACGCGTCGTTTATGGATTTATCGGGGAACGCGTTCGCGCATCGAAATAAATTTGTAATTTTGATGCGGTTTATAGTAAAGGGATGCCTTATTAATACATTCCAGGGACTTGAATCTATTCTTTCGATGTAAAATCGATATTCGTCGTACAACTGTTCTGCACGTGTCGTCGATAAAATTCAGGATGATGACGCGATTGCCCGAATTAGATTCAACAGTCGTGTGTGTGCGGTCGGTTTCTTCGATATTACTTGGCAATGCTCTTCCAATAATTAGTCGGGCTGCAGGGAAATCTGAAATCCGGTGTAAACACGACCGTAATCGATCTAAACTACTATTCGTTTCCACGAATTGATCGTTCACTGCAATGCACAACATGCACAAATATTCTACACAAAATTTAAAAATGTTCATGTCATAGTGAAATACTCCAAACAGTCGACATAAAATTAGTAGCAAAGAATACTCTTAATTTAAAGACAGATACAAAAATATTACTCGATTTACAGATTCTAATTTTCTATGTAAAGGAATATGAATATTTGATCAAAAGGTCATGCGTCTTATTTAGTTGCCACGTGATCCCTACACTCGTCACGTGTCGACGCCACACGGTCCATTATTGACACATTGACCCTCCAGTTTAATTGATTATTTTATACGAATTTTAGCCCCTATATCTTCGATTCATAGCCTGAACCTGTCACTTTGACACTTTACCTTATTTTATCGTGCATAAACATTGGCTGCGAAGAACTGTACGAAAATTATTTCCCTTCCTCCTTTTAATTACTCGAGTCGCATCGATCCACCTGGAATAACTCGATAAGCGTTTAAAGGGCCCCCTGAATCGTACATCCAACGTTCAAAGTAAACGCAGTTAGACATCCCGAAGAACAAACAACACGGAGTCTAACTAGCATCTCCACGGTTTGGCAAGTTACACATCGTAAGTTATCCACGAAACGGGAACACCGGAATATTGTCGACAGTAGCAACTCGATTAAACGCAGCAGTGCATAAAGTTAATTCGAAACTCCGTCGAGTAGCAAGTTCGTCAAAGTAACATGCTCCATCCGGGAGGGTCAAAGGGCACTCATCTTCAAAGACCCCTGTTGGTAAACAGTCCTCTGAATTACCACTCGTCGCTACAGGCTTGTCGGGACTCGGACGGGTCCTGTCCGACCAGTCGTCGACCTATACTACTGGCACAGACGAGGTACGAGTAGATCTAATGTACCTTTTTGGCCCATTTTTCTAGGGCTCCAGAGCTCCATTACCATTTTCGTATCACTCATTACTAAGGTTACACAAATGAACGCCAGAGAAAGTGAGACAGAAAATGAAATTAGAGAAACACATTACTTTTTCGATTAGGAATTTTTTTCTCGAAAATACGTAGGATTTCGGGGATACGTGTATTCATAAAAAGTGCTTGTAATTGACCCCTGCAATTAAAAATATTTTTTTTAGAATGATTTGAAACTTTTTAATTTCATCGATAAATTTGCCCATTTACTGAATTTTTTTCTCGAAAATGCGTAGGATTTCGGGGGTATGTCTATTCACCAAAAATTATTGTAATTTACCCCTGCAACCAAAAATAATTTTTTTAGAATGATTTGAAACTTTTTAATTTCATCGAAAAATTTGTCCATTTACTGAATTTTTTTCTCGAAAATGCGTAGGATTTCGGGGGTATGTCTATTGACCAAAAATGATTGTAATTGACCCCTGCAACTAAACAGAATTTTTCCTGAACGATTCGAAATTTTTTTTTTACCGAAAAATTTAGGCACCTACCCCCTGTCGATTTTTCACTTTTAATAAATTTGATTCATGCTGTACGGAAAAGTTGTTTAGTACGTTTTAGTAGGTACCCATGAGCTCTACTTCTCCTCATCAGAATAAAAATTCACCACACGAAATATAACAGAGATTTAATAAATAATAAAAATACCCAATCGATATCTTTGGTCACCAGTTCTATTCCCTACTCAATATTTTACGTTGGAATAAAATGACCCCCTTTGTTCCGCGTCAACGCGCAGGAATCGAAACGCGCGAGCAACTATGGGGGTCCCTAGCCTTCTCTCCCTCCATTCACGCAACGATTGCACCGCGTAGCGTCGTCTCGTCGAACCATACATCGTCGTTTCTGGGAACCCCTCGTTTTACCAATGGTTGGTCTGGTCGAAGGAGCGTCGTTTCCATGGAGCTTATCCCAACCGCCGTGTATGATCAATACTTCAACCTGTCGCGTCGGAACTAGCGGCGTGGTGGGTGCTGGCCTTCGAGGATCGTGCACGCGTCCCGACGTTTACCGCGAGCGTTCCCGTTAACATGTCGCGAGGGGAACGATAGCGTCGTCGTCGTGAAACGAAAATGTCGCCGCGACCGCGTTACGATCATCAGGGGTGGTGATTCCCGGGTCTCGATCAGTGCGCGGAGACGCTGAACCGACTGTTGCGACGAGTTCCTCGGGTTCCGACGTGGCGACGCTCACTGTGGCCGTCTCACCGCGAAGATGAAGAGGCAGAATGTCAGGACGCTGTCGTTGGTGGTGTGCACGTTCACGTACCTGCTGATCGGGGCGGCGGTGTTCGACGCGCTGGAGTCGAACACTGAGAGGAAACGCTGGGAGTTTCTGTCCGGTGAGTAATCTTACAGGAAACGTTCGAATAACGAGCAGGAGACACAGTTGTTTGTTTGGTCGAGATAGGAATTGTAAAAAGTGCGAGTCCGCGTTCACGAGATGGCAAAATATGGAGAAAGCGATAGTTTAGAATAAATATTTATATTTTGGATGAGAATTTTTAATTTAATGAGAGGTTCGAGGTTTCAGTGATCGTTTGATTTTTTACGTTGGGTCTCTTGGGATGTTTGTTTGGGAAACTGTATCGATTATCGAACCCTCCCCCTCTCACTGGACGATAATAGTATCGATACTCGACAAACGCATGGCTCTGGAGCCAGATTCGAAATATGAAAATTGTAGAGGTGTTTCAATTAATGTTAATTTCACGTTGGTTGAATAGAAGCTAGTCGAATCGAATTTGCATTTCCATCGAGAATTATTCGCGTTTGGAAATTTTTATCTCTCGATCGTTGCTTCCAGAGGTCCGCCGGAGCATGATGAAGAAGTACAACATCACGCAGGAGGATTACAGAATGCTGGAGATCGTTATAATAGAGAACAAACCGCACAAGGCGGGCCCGCAGTGGAAATTCGCCGGTGCCTTTTATTTCGCGACGCTCGTGCTTGCTATGATAGGTAAGTCGATCGAATTTATATACGTTAAGAATCTTCACTGGTTTCTGAAATTATTCCGTCGCGTTTCTGCAGAAGAATATATCTAACCCAAGCGCGCGAGGGGCAAAATTTAAATATATCGCGTTTAATCGATATCGACGCTTGACCTTGGAATTTAAAGTCTACGATAACGTTGCTATAGATAATACTTTGAGAGAAAATACTCTGGTTGCGTACACTATAAAAATACAAAGTTCAGTAACGAAAATAGAACACATTTCTGGACCCAATATCTAAAGTGGTATTTTTAATAAAAAAATTATTTTTGAATCTTCCTCCCTTCCTGATAAATTCCACTCGCGTTTCGATACTTACGAACGATTGAATTTAAATTTGAAAATTTTTCATGCGATTTCTAACGATTTTTCGTTGTGTTTCGAGGCTATGGACACTCGACGCCGGTTACTATAGGCGGAAAAGCGTTCTGTATGGCGTACGCTATGGTGGGCATCCCTCTGGGCCTGGTGATGTTCCAGAGCATCGGTGAACGCTTGAACAAGTTCGCCTCCGTGGTGATCAAGCGGGCGAAATCGTATCTGAGATGCAAGAAAACAGAGGCTACGGAGATGAATCTAATGCTCGCGACAGGGATGCTCTCGAGTATAATAATCACCACCGGGGCGGCCGTCTTCTCGCGTTACGAGGGCTGGAGTTACTTCGACAGCTTCTATTACTGCTTCGTAACACTGACCACCATCGGTTTCGGCGATTACGTCGCTCTTCAGGTAAATTTTCATCGATAAATCATCCCGAGCAACGTTCTTCGAGGAATAAAGCACTGTGATTTATTTAGTTGACGAAGTTATAAAGTCGAGATAATTTGCAATGTGACCATTTCTAACTACTTTGCAGAATGATCACGCGCTTTCCAACAAACCTGGATACGTGGCCTTAAGTTTAGTCTTCATTCTGTTCGGCTTGGCAGTCGTCGCTGCCAGCATAAACTTGCTCGTGCTCCGTTTCATGACAATGTAAGTACCCCGTTTCTTTCATTCGAGACTATATAAATCATCCCTTATCATCGTTCTATTGAGAGGCTCGCTGTAAATCTAGGTCGTATCAAAGATGTTTCGTATCGTCTTCCATGCCAACAAACCCATTATCTGATTCTCTTTCAAAATAAAATTCTAAAAATTTTTCAATGTCAACGGTTTTAAAGATATTTAAATATACAGAACATAGCCAATTGCATTATTTTGATTCTAAATCTAGTAAATGGTGGATTCTCTGAAAACAGGAACACAGGGGACGCTCGTCGCGAGGATAACGAGCTCCAGCCAGCCTCCCACCACGTCCTCACCCTCGACGGGGAGGTGGTCGCCGTAAATGGGAAACTCCTGGCTGGACACATGCCGATAGTCCACGACACGGACGATTGCGTGAGCGTGTGCTCGTGCACGTGTCTCAGACCAGCCAATTCCGAGCTTCTGGACCAAGGTTACCAAGGCTACAGGCCACCGACCTCCGCCAGCCTTCGCGTGAAACGCGCATCCGTCTGATGGAAGGAGTTTCGTCGTCGCAGTTTACGTCGTCGACTGTCGAGGGCCGACAGCAGGGAGCTGCTCGGCATCGACGTGTAAAATCGGCTCGAAACGCAAGCGCCGCGAGTCCATTGCACGCGGGATGAAAGATCGGCACCTCGATCGCCCGCTTAAGTGCCGCTGATCCGGTACACTTATCCGGGGAGGCGATTTCCGCGAGATCAAACGTTACATTTCGATCGACTCGCACAGTGGACATTTGCAAATGCTTTTTCGGTGAAGCTAGGATTAAAATATGGGTGGTAAATTAGATTTGCAATAATTTCCAAGTATCGTATTTTATTAATATTTAAATGTTCAAACCCTCTCTGGTAAAACCAAACAGAAATTAGGACAATAATACGCAAGTAACACGATTGCTCTATCTTCCCTCGTTATAATTTTTAATATCAAAATTTTTATAAGAGTCTAAGCACTCGTATTCGATATTAGAGTCAGTTTACGTACATCATCCCCTAGATTCTAAGCTCAGTTTCATCCCTGAAGCTCATTTTGTCAGTCGAGAGATCTTACAGCGAAATGTCTGACCCAATATGGTTGGTGACTACTTGCAGGGCCGATCTTTCTTTCTCCATGCAATACTGTCCCCCTCCCGAAGAAGAAAATGCATAGAATCCACGACGATTCGGACAGGTTCCGCGGAACGCTGTTCGCAAACTGTATTCTTAGAATTTACCCCGAAGCTTTCAAAGGACACGTTACGCGCACGTACGTTGATTTTTGAAGACGTATTTTGACGGCAACCCGAGGCCCGTCCTCGTGGACGTAATTTTAGGGTCGCGGTTTGAAGCACAAGTTATTTAATCCACGTTGTAATATACGAACTAATAGGCGTAGCAACAGATGCCGAGAGAATATTTCATAGGCGTGTTTGTAGGCGATTTTGTAACGATTTCGTACATTTCATATCGTTCCGAGTGCCCGGCTGATACGACGCGCTTAGGCGAACTCGGAGTGCTGCTGTGTCGTGTTCGCGGAGCGTTCGAGTCTAGCGTTAAATGGATTTCTAGGATAATCGTTGTACCGCGGACGTAGCGATATCCGTTTCGAGATTTTCGTCCATCGCTCCCGGAGTTACCTTGTTACCAAAATTATTAAAATTCTCGATTGTCTGATGCTGATAGATCAAAACAATATTTAAGTACATTCTATAACTGAATGTTATTTGAAAAATTCCCAGGTAATTTTTGCAAAAATTCAAGTGTACAAATTTCCCATATTTACAATGCTTTGATTGTCCACTTGTGTTTGGCTATACAAGGTAACGAACAATTTCCGTGAGCGACGATGTAATCTCGTCCGGAGAATGTCGAAATAGCGAGGATTGGATTTGTCTAAGATCGGGAATGTGTCACGCTAATTATTTATACGTATATATGAGTATATACCCAGGTCTCGATAGAGCGATTGTTAAATATATACAATTCGATGTTTGTACCAGTAGACGTAACATGAAAGTCACCGTAACGCCGCGAGAAGATTTATGTAATCGTCGATCGAACGGGAACGTCGATCCTAGGGTGTAGCGCCATTTTTTGTAGCCACGCGAATTGTGATCGTAGAGATCGCGTCTCAGACGATAACCGATTCTATCGTAAGCGAGCGACGATGAACGCATCCGAGGGTCGTATTTTTTTAACCGATTAGAGGATATATTAAACGAGAAACAGGAATATCCGGGAAGACTGATAGTTGAGGTTAAATTAACTGGGTAGTTATTTTTTTAACGGACGGACGATTCTTTAGCGCTCTTTTAACCCCCCAACGGGTCGAATCGCGAGCAATTCTTACAATATTTAACATTTTCTCTTCCATTTCTATCATTTAGAATCCTTTTTCTCCATAGCAAAAAGTCTACGTAACTAAATAAGGAAACGCAACTTATTCAACAAGTATCTTCGAAGCATAATATTTTAATATTTGGGTAATTCGAATAAATTTGTTAAACTCCTTCCAAATTTTGTAAACCTTTATACCGTACTCGATGATCGTTGAACCGGTTGGAGGGTTAACACGATTATTTCGTTTCGTCCCGAATCCAGCTCACAGTCGCCAGTGTCGATGTTTCTTTTCTAATTTGTCGATTACGGAGGTTGATCAGGGCGATCGATACACGCACAAATTGTCACCGTTCGTTTCCGAAATTGCAGCGAGCCACGCATCGTCAACCATTGTCACGGTATGCACTGTAAATACAAGTAATAGAGCGCACTCGTTTGTATACTTGTACCTTAGTTCATAGACGTTCGTTGCACCGCAACGAAGGACGCGATTGGGTATATTTTTTATCGTCGAGAATTTTTTAATAAACGACAGTTCACTATTTTCTATGCTATGTCTGACACACGCACATACATGTTCATGTGTGATGCAAACCCCCTTCCAATAGTTACATACGTTTGAACGTATCGAAATTCACACGCCTATATTCAGTTATGATATATACGATCTATATGCTCGTTGACGAAAAGTTTGTTCAGTTTTGCATTTAATCGATCATTAAAATTTTGCACGGAGTTCGAAATTTAATATCCGTGGTTGGATTGATCGAACAAAGGTTAAGGAAACGGGAATATTTCGAGCATGAGGGAACACGTGTGCGGATTGTCGAAAAGTTTGGAGAACATGCATCAGTTCGGTTCTGTGATAAACATGAAGGACGTCACGTATCACCAGCTGTGGATGAATCTGTTCAAGATCAGTGGTAATACACCAAGATCGAGATTATTCTTGGACAGCATGGCTGCTGTCGCTGCAGAGTGTACGAGGCACGCTGCTCTCAAACACTCGTGGATCATTCACCCTTTTAGTACTTTTAGGTATTTACAGTTGTCGCCAGAATCATTTGTCTGCTTTTGACGGTAGAACAGTTTATTTAAAAAGCGTAGAACGACCTTTAATCAAAGACCATTCAAGGTCGTCAGAGATCACGATGAAAAATAGTTTGCTTCAAAGAATCAATGAAACACTTTCGTTTTGGAAGTTTGAATTTCAATCATAGTTTGGTTAGAACACTCCAGGCTAATAATAGTTCTCAATGATTCAGATCTCAAGGATAAAACATGATCGAACGTTTACGTTTTGCAATATACTAACAATCATCGATTCCTTGGAGTAAAATAGAACGAGGATCCAAGGCCACTCATATTGTAGAAACATTAAACGATATCACGCAAAAATTTCAGATTCGTTTGGGATTTAATCATGTCAGTTATATATTTGATCGCTTTTGTATCCATCCCGTTCGTGATTTGTTTCATCGTGATGAACCACGAGGGGATTCGATTGGACAAATACAATTTGTTTATTTACGCGTTCTGCTGGTTGGACATATTTTGCAACTGCGTCACGGGGTACAAAGATAAAAAGCGTGGGATCGTCGTGTTGGAACCATTGAAGATATTAAAGTAACTTCTGTTTATAATTGCAAGCCACTGATGCGGTTTCAAATTAATTTCTTGGTACTTTTGTTTCTTCTCCAAAGTTGATTCTTTGATTCTAACTTCATATTTTCTTTCAGACATTACCTTCGAACGTACCTCCTAGTGGATATTATCTCTTCCTTGCCATGGGACCACATAACACTGCCATGGCGGCGGATACCAGGGGAAGACGTTAATCACATAATCATCATAATAAATCTTCTGCCTCTTTTGAAGCTGATACGCTACGGCTACGTCAATTTACAAGTCTTCGAGTTGTTCAGCGTAAAAAAATTGAAAATTATCGGTCAATCTCGTTGTTTTGATGAAATCTTCTAATATACGAATTAAATAAATCCTGTTAGATTTTCAAGAATATCAATGAAATTGATCGTGATCGATGGTACTTTTCCTATTCCACTTCATCGTGACATTCACATCGTATTTATCCTATTTCAGTACTTCGAAATAATGCATTTCTACTACCAAATGTTGACCACTCTCATGTTGGGCCTCTACCTGATACTCTGGTCTTCTTGTCTGTGCTACTTGATACCAGTCTTGGTCCTCCATTTTCAAAATACATTGGCGAAAGTAATCGATCTGATAGCTGCAAAATATTTGTCTACGTTATGAATTACATTTCGTTTACAGGACTGTGTCAATTGTTGGATGACAGGATTAGACAGTGGCAGTATATCGTTGAGATTTCAACACTCTCTTTTCATAGTTCTCGAGAAAATAGCAGCCAGCGGTTATGGCATGTACGTGCCACGAACGGATGGTCACCTTCTCCTGAGTAGCAGTTTAATGATTATGGGTAGACTGCTCGAGTGTTACATCGTAGGTGAATCCTCGATCCTTTCACTTCTATTTTCTATTATTAAATTTAAATAGCTTAAATCACTTTCACGCTGAACCCGTTCCAGTGATGCTGATTCAAATAAAAGCAATCAGAAAGGCGTCCAAGTCGAAGTTTTTGGAAATCATGAACCAACTGACCGCTTACACGAGACAGAAGCAACTTCCTCCGCAGATGAAGAACCGTCTCTTAGCGTACTATCAATACCGTTTCAGGAACAGCTACTTCCGCGAGAAATGGCTTCTGTCGCATCTATCGGGTAACCGAATCAAATCTGTCGTTTTATATTTTCTAAACAATTTTATGGGCGTTTCAGAATCACTGTGCCAGGAAATCGCGCTCCAGTCGAGTCACCGTCTGGTCCAGAACGTGGCCATCTTTAAAATGTTGCCGGAACACGTTCTCAGGATGATCGTTAAGAATCTGAAGTTCGAACTGTACCTGCCTAACGACGTCATAGTGAAATCTGGCGCTCAGGGCGACTGCATGTTCTTCCTGTCTGCTGGGACCGTGGCTGTGTTGACTCCTACTGGAAAAGAGGTAATCATTCGACATTCATTCGAGAGTCATTTTATAAATTTCATACTCGTTTAGAGTTTGCCTCTTCTTCTTATTATAGCATAGAGTTTTTCAAAAATAAATTTAATAATAAAAAAAATCTGTAAGATTTGCCACCTTGAAGATGGGGCCCATTTCGGGGAGGTGGCGCTGTTGGTCCCCGATCAGAGAAGAGTCGCGAGCGTCGTCGCGATCGAGGTCTGCGAGGTGTATCGTTTGGAACGTAAAGATTTCCGGAAATGCATCGCAGTGCACACGGAATTGTTCGCGAACATCGAAAGGATCGCGGCGGACAGGATCGAGAAGGCCTTGCTCATCGAAGAACAACACAAACGCTACCTCATGCGCGACTCGTTGCAAACCGACGACGTATTAGCCTAATTCGTTATTAATTCATTGGATCATAGGAAAGAACGTCCCTTCGATGTAATGCTAGAAATAAAAGTTCGTCGTCGTTTAAAAAAAGTTAATGAACGACGCTGTAATTATTTATTTTAGGACACCGTTATAGTTCTACTTCCTGAACAAAGAATAATCATGCTGATCGTTTAACCATATATTTAAGGATCTTATATATTATTATTGTCCATACATTGTTTGTATAGTGGCATTCCTTTATGTCTACCTTTATTTTATAATTATATATATTATATTATATTAATCATTACCTAAGATACTTACAGTTACAAATACACTCACTAAAATCTTTAGCACTGTTGCGATGAACTATGCACGTATAGATAATACACTGGAGACACGAATAAGTGATTAATTTATTTTCATTCTCTTTCTGCTTTTTTTTTTCCTTTTTAATCTTTTTTGGCAATTGTCTTTCTCGCGAAACGCTTGAACCATTCGTCGGTGTCCGTAGCGATGATCGTGAACGATCTTCGAAGATCTAAGGATCTGTCCTGGGAAGGGTGGATAGGTGGTCGAACCGTTATGCAAAAATACAAAAAACTACGAAAAGCATCCCATAAAACTTGCTCGCGAATTGTACGCGAGGTGTGTTCCACGTTCTCGCGAAGTCTTACCCTACGGGAATCGAAAAACGACGATTTCTGAAAATCAAAACAAACGATGGAGTACAGAATAGAAAATATATTTATATTTATAACCGATTCGAACCTGCACTTCCTAATCGAGATTGCAAAACGAAGGCTAAAGTATTCTCGTAGAAGTAATTTGTGCTATATTTATCTTAAACGTTTCGACTATTTTTGTACAACTATTTCACGATTATCACTGCTAGCGGTGTCTCACTCGTTAAAATTTGCGACGATTTAAAATTCAAGCTGCGAATAGAACCGATTCCCGGAAGGTGACGACACAAAACTAACGAATCAACGGTCACGATCGTTTCTACGGACGCTGGAGTCTCTGCGAGGAAGTTGTTAGTGCCCCATAAGATACGTTAACAATTAGTACGTGATAGTGAGAATTATATACATCTCTAGTGTAATAGTAAGTGGATATAGGGCATTGTACAGACTTAAATCACACGGTAGAAATATAAATTATTTACTATAGAATAGAGAGAATCTACTGAAATGACGTTTACTGCGTACCTTTCGTTCCTTAAAATCAACATCGTCCAGGTAAGAACGATACATGTCCATCTACGCTCGATATGCGATCAGTAGGATATCTAAACTATGTAAACTATTTATACATTTACTAGATAGTCGTGTCGCTACGTTACAACATATCCGTTACAATCGTGTAATGTCTAGTTTGGTCAGATCTAGAGGAGTACGGAGGAGAAGAGTACTCAATATCGTTATCGTTCGGCCCGAGATTCCCCCGAGCGAATAAATCATAAATTCGAAGTACAGTACACACAAATCACGCTCGAATTTTTCTTCGTTGATATGCATCATTGTTTCGTCGGATTGTCATAATTTTGAACCGTTTCAAATGCACGACATGTCGTTCGAACGTACAAAACGAAGGATCGTGAGAGCGAAAGGAAATCAAATCGATGGAATCTAGTCCTCGTAATTCAATGCTTCGCGATCGTCTGAATTCGAAACGCGTTCTACGATCGTTCCGAGCGAACACCGCGAGAGGAATTGTTCGTTTTGCCCGTTACACTACGTGTTTCTATTTACACTAAACAGTATCTGTATGTAAATTTATATTTAGCACTCTTTCCCCGACACTTTCGAAGGGCGTCTAATAAGGCACTGTCATTTACTGTGACTGAAACGATAAGATGAAAGAAGAAATAGTCCTTCCCTACGGTTCCGTGGATTCTTTCGATTCGAACTGATCGAGTGAAACTTACGCTTACGATATATTAAATGCTTTTGGTACCTTTCCCTTCGGAATCCTGATACGCTACGAGCTACTGATATTTCCGTGACGCACGGGGATGAGAGTACAGATCGCCAGCCCTTGCAATTGCCATCTTGGATGCTCATAGTGCCCGGAGAAAAAATAGAGTTCGATGCACACCGTTCGTCCACGCGTTGAAGTCTCCAGAGCGGTGCACGTATCGATTCGTTTTCGATTTTATTACACGGAAACCATTCACGTTATCGATACGAAAATTTAAATACATTATCTGCGATCCATTCTCTGATGAATTAAAAAAATTTGAAATTTTTATTTTAAAAATTCGAGAAAATTATATAAAGGCGCCAGAATATCTGGAGTATTCTCAGCCCCCGGTCGTCAAAGTTTCACGATAGATGATACAGTATACATAGTAACAGTACGTAGTTTAACATTACGATTAAAATGTTCAGGAACAAATATATAAATGCAACACGTTAATATGCCCATATGACGCGGTTTCAGCGCTAAAAACCGATCGTTCGCGAAGAGAATTGCGTCGGCGCAGCCTCGCGGTAAATCGTGCAAAGATGCAACCGAAATCCGTTCGAAAGCCTCGCCTCGTTTTGGAACTTTAGTAGAATTTTTTTGCTCATCGAAAGCCATCGAAGCCAGAACCGCGGCGACGTTGCACCTTTGCGATCCACGTCGTTCGATTCGATGATCGAGAACTATTTGGTGGCGGTACATGCTATGGCAATACGTCCGAGTATCGATAAGGAATAAGTGATAACAGTATCATAGAGTATATAAATGGCATATTGCGTAACAAACTATTTATATTGTACAACGTAACGTGCGTATATGCTTCATACAAATAGGTACAAGTTTCCCCCTCCTCTGTCGCTCGTTCCTCCCCCCCGTTTCGAAAAAAGAAAAACAAAGGATGGCCAGAGCCCCTAAGTCATCGAACGCTGATTTAGCGACGTTTCTTGTTCCCCTGGCGTGCGTGTGTTTTCAATTTCGCAAAGCTACGCAAGCGATGCACGAGAAAAATTGGTCGCGTCGTCGACTGTGACCGACCCCTCCGGAATCGTGGAACTCTATGCTGTTTTATCAAATGTAAAAATTCCAAATTCTCCGCCCGGTCGCGACGAGGTTGCCTAACTGGGTGATCTATGCAAACTGCATTCGAATTTCTATCTCGTCGCGGAATTCCGGAGACGCGGTCAACGTTGGTTATTGGATCGTTTCAGAAGTCGTTGCGAATAATTTTCAGTTGAGAACGAACGTGCGTGAAATTGATCGTGTCGACGTTAGATTTAAATAACGAAATTCGAGAGTTGAAATCTTTAGGAGTTAATTTAAAGATAAATTAGAGGGAAGATGTTCTTTCGTGCGCAAGGACTCGTGGAACGACCCGATGAAAAGAAAAGAAAAATTATCGAACGAGCACCTTTCGAGGTTAACCCGCCTAATATGGCTTCGACCGACTAGGATTCAGCGTCAGATCGTATATACATGGATGACGACGTTCGAAAGAGACAGCGACGACAGTCGTGGGAGTCGTCCCTCCGTCCCGCTGTTGCTTAATATATTAAGATACCTATGTATAGACGTTCTAAGGCTTTGGCAGTGAATTAACGTCGATTATGCGGCGTCCTCGATGACGTTTCGTTCGCATACCCTCGATTAAGTCGATGTCTTTGCCCGATCGTGGTCGCTGCTCGCGCCGGGCACACCGGAAATTACCGAACCGTCGAGTTTCGCGTTTTAAACGAGCATCTTCAGGATGTGCCTTCGCCTCCTCCTGGAGTTGCTCAGGTGAGGGCCCCTGGAGGGCAGCTGTCCAGCCTCGGTACAAGATCGACAACAGAATTTCGCGTAGTATTTGTGCGTGCAATACTTCGCCTTCACGATCAGGCCGCAGTCCGCGAAGAACGCGTTGTCCTGGCAGTTCGGGTGGATGAAAATTCCTGGAAGAAGAGAACGTGCGTTTCCGTCGTTACGCGGATCGATCCTAACCCTTTGATCGCTCGAGGCGATTATGTACGCCTTCATAGGAACAAAATCTTTCAAGACGAGAGTTTTCATGTTCTAAATAATTCAGTCTCTATGTTTGCTTTGTACTCGACAGTGTCTGGAGTCAAAGGGTTAAGCGATTAGTGAGGCTGAGCAACATAGATTGCTAGATATTGTGAGAAAATTGAATAAAGAAACGAGGAGGTACGTCGAGTAACTTACCAGCAACTTGTATGTGAACGCTATCGGTGGCTGACGAGATATCGTTGTTGGCTTCGCAGCGATATTCGCCGGAATCCTCTCGGTTCGCGTCGCTGATCACCAGTCTGTTCACTTCTGCAAGTGGAATTCGAAAACCTCGTCGAAACAATGATGATTTGTTTTCTTGGATCATTTTTATTCTAAAACGTTCGGTGCGTACCAGAAATTTGAATTCGATTGCTAGCATGGATCAGCTCGTTGTCCTTGTACCACGTGACTCGAGGGGCAGGATAGCCGTCGACGTTGCAGGCGATGCTGATGTCGCTACCCTCGGGGAACTGATTTTGGACCACCGATATATTGACGCTGACAGGAACTGTGAAAGAGTCGCTATTGTATAGAATACGCCAAATTGGTGAAAACAGGAAGAAATGGTAAAGCAAAGTTGCAGTGTAAAAAGGTAGCTGAAGAACAGAACCTACCTGCACGTTGGTCTCTGTAAACAATAGTTACTGTCAATTCTACGATACAGTTATTAACGAAGCACATGCAGAACAAGATCAAAGCCATTCAAAGATGCAAATTAAAAGCCAGATCCAGTTGCAACGTCGTAATCCAAATCATCATCCTTCTATTTAGATTGTTAAAATTCGAGGTAAATTTTTTTATGACTCTAAAGAACCAACAGCTGACGTTGCAATTGGAACCCCAAGAAACGAAACGTTCGTATGCCACCTCACCTTGGAACCTGTTGAACCCAAGATTCAGACTGATGTTTCCAGGCAGAGGAGTCGCGGTAGGGAACTGTGTGGATGTGTTAATGGGCAGGTAGACTTGTGTTAGGTTCTGTCGTCTGTTGGGCTTGTAAGGATACTGAGGTTTCTCCTCGACAGACTTTCTAGGAGGCTGGACCAGGTACTGGGTGTACTGCTCGTACTCTGGTTTGACATTATGAACGGGACCAATCGCTTGCAAGGTCACCGACCAGGACGCTGCTCTGCCAATGGCATTGAACGCTTGGCAGGTGTAGATACCGAGAGTAGGAAGCGTCACCGTTCGAATCAACAGAGTATAATCGGAGTCCTGTTCGTAGATGTCCGACGTCAACGGCAACATGTGGACACCTCGCCACCAGGTGACGGATGGCCTTGGCCAGCCCATCGCGTAACAATGGAGGGCTATCGGCGAGTTCATCGTGACCGTCACGCGAGTGTCGGGCTCCCCGATTATGGCGGCGGATATTACGCGTGGCTCTACACAGGATACAAGAAAACAGCATGCACAGAGACGAATATGGAAACCATCACCGAGTACGAAAGGGGATAAATGCAATGTGGAAACGATATGCGTAGGTCTGTTTACTATGCAGGTATTAACTACTCTAATTAGAATTTCTACGCAAGGAACATTCTGCAAACACTAAACAATCCCATCACCTTTCAAGACAAAACCGGACTTCCCTACGCCATTGCATGCTCGGTACATACCTGTTACCATAAGTTGGTACTCTGCTCTGACCGGTGGCCCTAAGCCATTGTCAGCTGTACAGACATAAGTCCCGCTGTCGTATCTGTACAGATTGACAATCTGCAGGGACCCGTCGAGCAATATGCGACGCCTGTTCTCTGAAGGACCGATCTGTGAACAATTTTGACATTAACATGTCAATTAAAGGTAATTTTCCAGGAGCCTTTCTTGGAGGGACATAGAATATCTAAGAGTATACTTTGGAACGTTCTACACATTTTAAAAAAAATTTCACGACTCTTGGGGGGAGGGATTACTCTTTTTCCAAGTGTGAACATCTCACCAAAGTCGTGTCCTTTCTCCAAGTGATGGTCGGTTGGGGGTTTCCTAGCGCTTCGCACTTAAATGTGACGTAAGCGCCTTCCTGGGCATTGACGTGGGGCTCTTCCGGTTGTCGAATCGAGGCTGGTTCCGTGCCAGCTGGAGGGGAGGTGACCCACGTCCTCAGGGTGGTCGTCGAGGGTTCTTCAGCGGCTGGTTCCAAACAGGCAGTGCCGCAGCCAATGTCGCAACATTTCATTTCTCCGTAGCAATCTGCGTCCGTGGCGCACTCCTGCTCGCACCTGGTGTTGTTCGACACCTTTGGACAGCGTCCTGATTTCGTGGCTTTTTTAAAAACAAAATATTATTAGCGATATAGACTCTTTGAAACGAAACATAGTTTGTGTTTAATGAATTAATTACTAGATCTGCAGATGGCCTTGTACTCGGTGCCATCCTTGGCGGCGACCAGGGTGATCGTGCACCTGGTACCATCGGGACAAATTTGTGTCCTGCAAGGATCCACGCAGCGGCATCGTTCGCAATCCTGAGAGTCCACGAAGGCCTCCTTGCCGTAAGGACAACGAATAATGTTGCATTCCTCGTTGGCCTCCGCGCAAAGGTTCTTCGCGTCCTTTCCGGAGTCCACGTCGATCTCGTTGGTAGCTACAACGAAACAATACGATTCGAAGTGGTAGAAAGTATTCCACAGAAACGAAGAAGAATAACATCGAGAACGAAAACTTGCAAAGCAATATTACACATTTACTTCCAGCGGAATATAGCAGCGAGAATATAAAGACGAAATAAAATGGCGAATAAAAAATATGGATGAGCAGCTGAGAACGTTTCCTCCTACCTTCGAGGATACGCAGGATCGCGTGGATAAATAGCAAGGGATCTTTTTACAGGTTGGACAGGTAGTTTGACGGTTTATGGAAGCGTGAGTAAACGATTGAACGTAAAATAAAATTCGAGTCTGCAAAACTGTACATCGCTTTTGAAGCTGATTAGCTGAAATTTGTAATCGACATTGATTTTTCTAATGGCCGACGTGTTTCCTCGACTTACTCTTGAGGCAACTGTGAATGCAAGATTCGAAGGTCTTGAATCGGTTACGATTGCCACCGCATCCGGTGTAAATGAACGCTCGACAGGTTTGATATTCCTCGTCGAAGTAGAATCGTTTGATTGCAAATTCCGAAGTGCACGACCCGCTGTCCACCGGTTCTTTACAGATCGCTAAATCATCATCGTTGAAATCCGTTATTCGAGCCACGAATCGACGCCACTTTCTCGGGAAAGTTTCGATTCGACTTTCATTCATCGAGTTTACGATTCATCAAAAAGAAACTGGATCTAATTATAAATTATTGCTATTTAAAATGTTCAAGCCCAAAATAGTTCATTTCAATCAGCTTTAACGAGTTTCTTTACTGCTTAAAAGATCTTTTTAATTTCTCGGGCAACGCTACGTTTTACTATTACGAATGCGATGATAAGAGGCACTTACACAGATTAGAAACACTAGTGTCGTTTCCTGCTGGCACGGGCTCCTCGTGATGTATGCAGATCGACTCGCATTCGGCCATCGTGCTGAATCTGTTCGCGTTTCCTTCGCATCCGCCGTATACGAACTCGCGACAGGTACGAGTAGCTGAATCGTAGAAGTATTTCAGGAAGGATCCCCTGCATTCGCCAGGATCCGCTAACATATTGCACGCGTCTAAAGAAAAATGTCCAAACATTACATTAATAATTTGGTACTAAAATACCGAAGTTGCCAATTACGATCGTAAACGATCAACATTAAGAAAGTATCTATTTAGGTAACTCTTCTGATTTAAAATAATGTTAACAACTTCAACAAATGTTTTGGAAGAACCTACTCTGTCCCTGGAATTTTCCACAAAGGCGTTCACACTGTTCCTCCGTCTGGAATCTGTTGGCGTTTCCTTCGCAGCCGCCATAAACGAACGCCTGGCACACCTGGCTGTTCGCGTCGTAATAATAGGCGGTGATGTCGTTGTTGCAAGAGCCAGGATCAACGGGTACGTAACAAATCGGACTCTTCGTGGCGTGTTCGGGGTACGGGTGTGGTGTAACAATGGCGTTCGAAGGTGCTTGCTCAGTTACCACACGGCGTCTGCACTTCGTCTCGCAGGAATCTCTGTCCTGGAAGCGATTCTTATTACCCTGACAGCCGCTATACTCGAACTCGTAGCAAGCATCCGTTCGGTGGTCGTAGTAGAACTGTCTGTCGAAGCCATTGCAAGGACCGATAACCTTTGGCAGGCTGCAGGGATCTGTAAATAATTAATTTTCCATATTTCCAAAGTTTCGATCGCTACATATCGATAAAATTCGTCTAACCCTGCATCCTTTCCTAACGAAATTTTATAAGATTAAATCAAGTACGAAAATAGTACAATTTATGAAAGTAAGGTATATTTATTTGATATTGGGTACGAAAGTCAAACTAATATATTTTTAGCAGTTATTTCTTTGGATAGGAACTGTGTTTTTAGTGTAAGTGGCCCATGAAATAATTTTTTTCGCGAACCTTGAACATCCCCGCATCGATATTCGCATTCCTCCTTGCTGTTGAAGTTGTTCCCGTTGCTCTGGCAGCCGCCATACCTGAACTGTTTGCAAACCCCGTCTCTGCTGTCGTAGAACCATTTTACGCGATTGTCGGAGCACGGACCGTGCGACTCGGGTAAGAAACAGAAGTCTGGAAAATTGTGTAGAATTTTTAACACGTTTGACAAACGTCGAATATTCTTCTGGATATTACCTGGTCTAAATTCGACGTCTACCGGAGTCGCAGGCGTGGTGAGGGCGGTTTGACACCTGCCTAGACAATCGTGCTCGCTCTCGAAATTGTTCGAATTTCCACCGCAACCGCCGTAGTAAAACTGTCTACATTGTTGCTCGTACGAGTCGTAATACCATCGTTGAGTGTAGTTGTGGCATTCGCCGAGAAGCGCGGGCAAAAGACAGATGTCTTGTTCTGTATCCAACCGAAAACGATGTTAAAACAGTCTGCCCATTCGGAAATTCGATAGAAAACGAAAAATTCCAACAGCATCCAAGACTAAAATTATTTGAGTGCTTTCTTCGAAATTTAAATTTTTACGTTGGATAGAATTCTTCGTTTCCACGCGTTCGAAGGATAAAAGCAGCGTGCAAAGTGTACGAAAATTTGGCGAAATCTCGCACGATTCACGGGTAAAAAGATGCTAATGAAGTAATGTTTACTTTCGTGGAAAAGAGTCTTGAGTAAACTCTGAAACGTTCACGTGCATATAGTGCATTCGAATTTGAATAAATTGCAGAGAAAGAACAATCGTATTTTAATTCGTGCTACGAAAAGCATTATCGTGAGAAATTGCAGTAATGTTGGTTCTACTCGTGAATGATCCAAGCATTTAATTTTAATTATTATTTCGAGGATCACGGTCCTCCAGGGAAATTTATTGAAATGGATCTTCGCGACTAGAATCAAGATTATAATTTGAAATTATTCGGTGCTGTTTTGAGGAAAATTTCAGAGTGATGAGACGTGGTTCTTACCGATTTTAGCCGGGCAATCGGACTCGCATGCGTCCCTAGATTCGAAATTATTTTTATTTCCATCGCACCCGGTATAATAGAATGGCATGCATCGATTCTCCGACTGGTCAAAGTACCATCGAGACTGCTTCTCCCCACAGTTACCCTCGGCTCGAGGCAGCAAGCAACTATCTGTTAATCGCATTAATTATCGTATCATGCAACGTTAGACTTCATCTAATATCAACCATTTGCAATTCCGTCTATTTCTCCCGATCAAAGTGGGTCAAACTTTTCATTTATAGAAACTATTGATCTAACTGTTTCCCAACTCCGATCGATGGAAAGAATAGTCCGAACCACAAATGGTCGACTATATTTTGGCGAACGTTTCCGTAACTCCTGAAAGTGTAAGCTTAAAAAAAAATTATAATTTCTGTGCATGTGAAACGTTGAATATATAACAGTGCTCCTTAATCCCTATCTGTCCAAGAGTCAGCGGCAAACAATAAACGAACCAACACCAACAACCGTTTTTCGAGTCACGAGAAGAGATTGCGAGTGACGCTGTTATTCATGAAGCAGAGGGAGGCGCTTTTCGTTCGATTCAGCCTGATTTTTCTGGCGATTCATTTTTTTTTTTTCGTTTTCTGATTGTGATACCTTTTACGGGGCAACGCTGCTCGCAGGCAGCACGGCTACGGAATTTATTGGCGTTGCCTTTACAACCGCCGTAAACAAATTGGTTACACGTCTGACGATCGGCGTCATAATACCAGCGTAAAACAGAGCCCGGGCAGGGCCCGTGATCTTTCCCCAGGACGCACACGTCCGGCAGCTCTACTGGAAATAGTTTCATTCGTTACTCGGAGGGCTGTGACTCTGGTTCGATGGATTCTGTGCCAATTTTGGGTCGAATCTATGACGACTTTGAAGCAGGGAAATGATCAAAGTTAAAAAAAAAAATATCCGAAAACGTTTTCATCCCTCAAACTACTATGCTTTACTCGGAGGGCTATGACTTTGGTTCGATGGATTCTGTGCCAATTTAGGGTCGAATCTATGACGACTTCGAAGCAGGGAAATGATCAAAATTAAAAAAAAAATATCCAAAAACGTTTTCATCCCCTCAAACTACTATGCTCTACAAATCAAGAAAATTCCGAATATCGTAAATCGAGTTTCGAATTTTCGAGAGGCCCCGTGCTTCAGGGTGTCAATTAAAGCGGTTATCCCACAGCCTGCTGACACAGTTTCCTGTACGTCGACCCTTCCCGATGAATTATTCTAACCCCTCCACAAACACCACGCGCGATTAGTCTCGCTTCCACTCGAAAATTTCAAAGAAAAACTTGCCACGCGGCAAGCGAGCACTTTTTCTCGTTCTAAAAATATCAATTCTGAAATTCATTCGAAAGTATGCCTAACGGGGGTGACGACTCACAGGCATGGAAAAACGAACATACGTGCTTTCCTAAAACGGAGGGGAACCTGATCGATGGACCTACCTCGTCTGCCTCCAGGTTGCAGGCACTGTTGGTGGCAAGCAACTTCCGTGGCGAAGTTGTTGTCGTTGCCTTTGCATCCGCCGTACCTGAACTGCTCGCACGCTTGCGACTCGGCGTTGTAGAACCACCTGGTGAAGTTGCCCTCGCAGGGTCCTGGTTCCTTGGTTTGTTCGCAGGGATCTTGGATGAATTATTCAATCAATTGTTCGCCCATTTTTAATCACTTGCGATTTGATAATATTTGATTCATTGGAAAACACAGAAAAGCAGTATTTCATTATTTTTAAACATGTCAGCCTACCCAGATCGTCAGGAACAACGCACAGCTCTTCGCACTCTTCCCTCGTCTTGAACTTGTTTGCATTGCCGAGACAACCGCCATAGACGAATTGGCCGCACTGTTTCCTGCCAGAGTCGTAGTACCATGTAGGGAAGTAGCCCTCGCAGGGTCCAGATATTTTTGGTAAATAGCAGGCGTCTGAAATGATCGCGAAGTTCACGAGTCAATACGAGCCCCCCCAAAGAGCAAGAATTCGACGGGCAAAAGTTTTAATTCGAGAGACTCTCGGTTCGTTTACCTCTTCCTTTCGGCTGAACGCACACCTCCTTGCATTCTTCCTGAGTCTTGAATCGATTATCGTTGCCCTCGCAGCCCCCGTACCAGAATCGCGAGCAGCCACCGTAATCCGTATTGAAGTACCACTTGACGGAGAACTCTCTGCACGAACCTCTGTCTCGTTCCAGCCCGCAGGCGATTCCTGGGGTCGACGGAACCGTGAGACAGCCCTCGAAGTTCTCGCCCTGCGCCTCCTCAACCCCGTCGGTGCAACATCCATACTTCGAGGCATCGCAAGTACATCCGGCGAAGTTCGGCCCCTTGGCCGGTGTTCTGCCATCGGAGCAGCATTTGTACTGGGCGTTCTCGCATCCGCAGCCTGAAAAAATCGTTATTGCGATCGATGGTTTCCTCGTTTCGACCCCTCTGGATCCGACGTTTGACTTTAATTCGATTCTATTGCATTTTATTCGGCAAATCAAAGCTTTTGAGATCAAAAACATTTGATATTTTGTTAAACCTTCCCAGGAGATTGATACGGTTTTATTAACGAAATAATTGCCTTGTCCGTGAGGTCCTTTGGCGATGGTGACGCCGTCGGGGCAACACCCGAACTGATAAGTGTAACAAGAACATCCCTCGTAGCTCGGTCCAGTGGCCGGTGTGAAGCGGTTGGGGCAACAGCCGTGAGGGGTGTGCTCGCAGCCGCATCCCTCGTTGTTAGGACCACGCGCCGCGGTGGCATTATCCGGACAACAACCGAATCGCGTGTACGCGCAACCGCAACCGTAGAAGTTTGGTCCACGCGCGGGCAACACGTTGTCCGGACAGCACTTGTACTCCGTCGACAAGCAGCAACCCTCTCTGTTATGGCCGTGAGCCGGTGTAACGCCGTCTTCGCAGCAACCGTAAGTGCTGTTCTCGCACGCCATACGGCAGCCATAGTTGCTCGGTCCCAGAGCTACGAAATTCATTTTCAATAATAAATTAACGTCTACATTTCGGACAATTTTACGCTTCAAAAGTTATTCGAATGTACTGTGCTTGCGCGAAAAGAAGCCTAGACTGTGCTGACTTCTGTACTACGCATGCGTGCTGAACGCTAGATTGGCGATGTCAACGCAGCCTTCTTTTCACGTAAGCACTATACAATTTACGAAAGGATGTGTCGTCGAGTAGATGACAGACAGAGTTTACCTATTTTAGATGGCAACTTATGATTCTGAAAGTCAGGTGCTTTCTACTTAGATATTCTTTTAAATAGCAATCATTCGTCTCTCTATTCATCGAACGACTATCTTAGTTATGGAATGTTTAGTAACGAACCAGGTGAGACCCCATCGGGACAGCATCCAAAGTACGACAGAGTGCAGTTCTCCGTATTGATAACTCCGCATCCATCGAAGTTTGGTCCGATGGCGGCCGAGACGTTGTCCGGGCAGCATCCGTAGGTCGAATTCGCGCAATCCTCCAGGACAGCGGTCGTAGTTTCGTATTCCTCCGTGATAGGAGTGACGGAAGTAATCTCCTCCTCGCAACCTGCGAGCATCAAATTAATTATGCAAAGTTTCCCAGTTTCGACATCGACGAGTAATTCCTCGAGCATCGGCGAACGACGTTGACCGTACCCTCTCCGTCTGGCCCGGAAGCTGCCTTGATTCCATCGGGACAGCACCCGAATTCGGTGACGTTGCAGCAGCCCAGATTGTCCTTCCCGCTCGCCGCGGTTTCGTTGTCCGGACAACATCCGAACCTGAGACATTTAATTATTTCCAAATAATGGATGTTCGTGTTATCTATAAGAATGATGAGGTAAATAAGGGTCGAAACTGACTCTGACTCGACGCATGGTTTCGTGCATCCCTCCATATCGTTGCCCTCGGAGGGGGTGACTCCGTCGGGACAGCAACCGAACAGCGTTTCGTCGCAGTGAGACTCCGGACATCCTTGGTTGTCCGCACCGGTGGCAGGCGATACGCCATCAGGGCAGCAACCATACTTGGTCTCGTTGCAAGTATGCGGAGTAGGGCAACCCTGACCGAACGGACCCACGGCTGCAGTGATTCCGTCATAGCAACAGCCGTACGGTTTGGTTTTGCAGCTCTTCTTCTTGGGAATCTTGCACACGCGGTGCTTGCGTGTCGTTCCTTCCGGACTGATGGTCGTCCAGATGTCGAATACTGAAACGAAAATAGAATATCGAACCCCTCAAATTGTCCACGAGGACGAAACTTTGCCTTTGGATAATTGGAATCGTGCAATTTATATTACGATATTAAAATATTGATCACTGCAGACTCACTGCTCGATTTCTCGGTCATTTCGGACTCCTCTTCCTCGGTGGATGTCGTCAGTCCGGACACGGTGGTGTCCGTCGCTCCGGAGACAGTTGTTTCGCCCGATTCGGTGGTTGCACCAGACTCTGTCGTCTCTCCAGACTCCGTCGTGGCTCCAGATTCTGTGGTTTCTCCAGACTCGGTTGTTGCTCCCGATTCTGTGGTCTCTCCAGACACTGTTGTCCCTTCTGTTGTTGTTTCGCCCGATTCGGTGGTCTGACCAGACTCGGTCGTCATACCAGAATCGGTAGTTTCACCAGATTCGGTTGTCATACCAGACTCGGTAGTTTGACCAGACTCTGTGGTCATTCCAGCTTCGGTGGTCTGTCCAGACTCGGTAGTTTGACCAGATTCGGTAGTCATACCAGACTCGGTAGTTTGACCAGACTCGGTGGTTTGACCAGACTCGGTAGTTTGACCAGACTCGGTAGTTTGACCAGACTCTGTGGTTTGACCAGACTCTGTGGTTTGACCAGACTCGGTAGTTTGACCAGACTCGGTGGTTTGACCAGACTCGGTAGTTTGACCAGACTCGGTAGTTTGACCAGACTCGGTAGTTTGACCAGACTCGGTAGTTTGACCAGACTCGGTAGTTTGACCCGACTCCGTAGTTTGACCAGACTCTGTGGTCATTCCAGCTTCAGTGGTCTGTCCAGACTCTGTAGTTGCCCCAGACTCGGTAGTTTCGGTGGCTTCCGTGGGTCCAGACTCGGTGGACCCCTCCGTAACCGAGACGTCGGTCGACATTGTTGGCTCCGTAGCACCTGATTCTGTAGTTTCACCCGACACAGTCGATCCTCCCTCCGTTGTTTCACCGGATACATCAGAGGACGTGGACGTCTCGACAGTGGTCCCAGCTATGGTCGACTCTTCTGTTGCATTCACGGAACGGAATATTTGAATATAACTTTCTGAAACACCCTGGCAGTGGGTTTAATTTTAATGTACGCTAACCTGACGACACGCTCTCGTCCGTAGATTTACTTTCGGATTCGGACGTAGTTGGGGCAGATTCCGTAGACTCTGTGGAACTAGTCACCTCCGTTTCCGCGGATTCCGTAGTCTCCCCTGAGACTGGAGTGACCTCTGTCTCCGAAGAGACTGTGGTTTCCGGCGACTCGGACGTCGGGCCGCTCGAGTCCGGAGTTTCCGATTCCATAGTTTCTTCCGTCGCTCCAGACTCGGTCACTTCCGTTTCTAAGCGTGTAAACGTATCTTTTACATTTTCTAAGCCTTGCATCGTTAATCCCAAGAAGAAGATATGGCTAAGTATACTTAATGACTATTTGAAATTTAATAAATTAGCTTACCGCCCGATACTGTGCTCTCTTCCGTCACTGATTCAGCGGTCGATGTTTCGGACGAATCTTTGGTCGATCCGTCGTCGGTTTCTTCCGTGGCGCCAGATTCCGTGGCATCGGTGGGTTCCGTGATTCCGGACACCGGCGTGAAGTCTCCATCGTCCGATCCACTGCCATCGAATATAGTCTCGAATCCCACCACTTCAGACTCGGTGTAGAAATGCTCATAATAGGTGCCGCTTCCCTCGACGATATCCCAGGGCGTTATGTCGCCCCTGGTGTAAGCAGCATCGCCTTGCATTTTCTCGTCGTCGCTGGTGAACGATTCAGCATCCGGCGAACTTAGGGGAGTGGCCTCGGTCAGCTCGACCATTTTACTAGATTTCTCATCCTGAACAGAAAATGCATAAAACGAGGCGTTGTCTATCTGTTCTATATCTCATAGAGAACTCTGGGTACATTTAAAATCGTGCAAACTATTTATCTCGGAATCGTGTAGCTTCTGAGGGAACGCAACAATATTATTGTTTTAAAGTGATTATATAGAACAAAATACATAAGAAGAGAATTTACTATCTATTTCGTAAGAAAGTGTGCTTGAGTTGGTACATAGTAGGTGATCGAAGGAAAGTCGAGTGCAAAGGGTTAATAAATAGCGTAGGAAATGTGAGGGACTGGAATTCGTTTGTTACTTTGCTAGAAATTTGGTTTCTAGCGCAACGAGCACCTTTATTTGCAAGTTCGGCTGAAATCAGATGTGAAACTTTCGCGCGACAGGGGAGACCTGATTTCATTTACATGAAAATGGGCGCGAAACGTAACGCCGGGTACAAGGAATTACGAAACGAGACGATTCGCGACGTTTGATTAACTGTGACCCAGTTTCACTTACGCCTGGTGCGAGGCTGGACGAGACGGTTACGAAGTCCTCGTCCTCGTACACTTCGCATTCATCATCCTCCTCGGCCAGATCCTTGATCTTCTCCAACTCGACCGGTATCACCTCGTCTGAAAATAGATTTTAATCCATCCCCCGTCTCTCATAAACTTCGACTCGAACGAACAAACTCTTCGCGAGGGCTCCAATCCCGAGAAAATCGAATCCGTGTCTGTTCAAGCTCGATTAGACAAATTGCATATAAAAAAGTTTCATAAGATTCTTCCTCATATTATTAGACATATAAGTATTTCATTTCAACTTTCGACTTAATATATTTAATTAAGAAACTACCCTCGGTTAATCGAAACTATGATCCAACTTTAGTGCTGGTCCATTCCCCCGATCGATTATCAAATTAATACTCCCCGAATGAACTCTAACAGCCAGGCGCTAGATCGATACCGTACCTTCCTCGCACGGTTGCTTGTTGCAGTCCTCGGACGAGAACATGATCGCGCTGGAGTCGCAGTTCTTCACAGGGGCCGTAACGTTGTCCTTCATGCAAATCACCTTGCGGATCATGGTGCCTCCGCCGCACGGTTTCGAACACTGGAACACGGTAAGGTGATTAATGGAAGAAATTTGAGGCGCACGGTTCTTGCCTCGGCTCGGTGCAAAAGCCGTCGAAGATGATATTGAATTTCTTAACCGACCGAGGTAACGCGGCACGGCGTATTTCTCGCGGATGCAAATAATCTCTACGGTGCAAGGACTGTTCAGGAAATATCAAACACCGTAATTCCTTTTCTTCTCAGATTTCGATGTCAATTACGAGCACGTTTTGTTGGTCACGAGACCAGGCGAGCGGTAGCTGAAATTTATTTCACCGAGCGTCTCTGGTAATCGCAGGACGACCAGGAAGAACGCGATCAACGCGATCCTTTAAGTGGACCCTCGATCTCAACTGGCTTATTTTATTTAATATCGATTTTTACCATAATTGAAATATATTAAACAATTATTAATTTAATCTTGAGGAGGTTGAGGAGTCCTCTGTAACACCTTCAAAAATTTTATTTTCATTTTTTGAGGTACGTACATTGAAGAATGCATCTGTTTTCATTTTTGAAGAGTTTCGAGTATTGTTTCGATTACACAACTACGCGAATTTCTATTTTTGTATAATCATTTCTAGAAACCGAGGAATAAAAGTTCTCGTCAGGTTATTCTTGCTATCAGTTAAAATTGATCTTATCTGCGTTCACCGCGAACCGTCGACACGGTTTTTTCCTGGAAAGGGACGTTAAAGCGTGTACTGACGGGGACACGTTACCTTGCTCCATGGACCAGCGAACCATTCACCTTTGCACTCTTCCTCGGCTGTGCAGTTCTTCGTGTCGTTGAATTTCTTGCTGGCGTCGCATTTTTCAACCGGCACTTTCTTCACCGTTTCGTCGTCGAACGTGCCGCAGAACACCTTGCGCGTCTGCACGCCGGATCCACATTTCGCCGAACACTGTTGGGCAAACGTAATCGTGCCTTGAAAATGATTTTATGACGATATGTCTTCTACGATCCTATAGAATCTGCTTCAAATATTAAAGAAATAATTTACATAAAAGCTTGCAAATCTCTGTTCGTGTGTCCGTACAAAAATTATTGCATATACCGAATCTTTCACAAAAATTAGTCCCGTAACGAATATCGTTGCGTCACTTACGGAACTCCACTGACTGCTGAACCACAGGAACTCGCATTCCTTGGTGCTCTCGCACGTTTGCGCCAGTTTGGGCTTCTTCTCCGAGTCGCATTTGTCGTCGGGATAAACGGTGCCATCTTGCGTGGCGCACTGAGCCGTCCTCGTCTCCCGAGTGAGTCCGCATTTGTCGTCGCACTGAGATAATCGTAAAAAAATACACGGTGAAGCAACAAATGGGTCACTTTTTCATTTGGACGTTCGCATCGTTCTCTTGATATTACTCGCCAAAATGTTTCCGCGAGGCGAAAAACCGCAAGGCTTCCTAACATTTCACGAGGACGAATGGGCATTTGGGTGCCACTGTATGACAAATTGCGAACTTACACCACTCCAATCCGACGTGACCCAGTCGAGGCCGGCGCAAGGTCTCAGCTCGCAAGGCATCTCACGCTCCGGGACCTCTTCTTCGCAAGCTTCGTCCTCCAACACTTGAATCTTCCCCTCCATCTTCTTGTAACACGTCACTTTCCTCGTTTGCTTCCCAGGTCCGCACAGATGATCGCACTGTCCAACAATTTCCATCGTGTTTTTATCGAAATACAATATTCCCTCGCTTATTGACCGCGATTTGGGTCTGCGTTTAGTTACTTGCAACGGAGAGATAGAAATTTTGTCCCCGGGACTAGTCGAATCGTTGCAACGAGTGTTATTTGATTCTAATAACTTACGACAGTGATGAGAACGCTAATTTATATAATTATAATGGTTGTTTTTTCGAGGTATTAGCGAAAGTTCTAAAATTTGGTAAAATTATCGATGGAATCGAGTTTTACCGGTTTCCAAGGTCCTATGTGGAACTGTGGGCACTCCACCTCTCTGTTGCACTCCTGGTTGGTGGGCCCTTTGGGCCCCACACTGTCCAGACACTGACTGTCGTCCACCACCGAGGCAATCCCACTGGAGATGACTTGCTCGCATTTGATCTCTCTGCTCTGTTCACCTTTCTCGCCGCAGTGCTTGCTGCAGGGGCCCCACTCGCCCTCCATCCACACAGGTGGACAGGGTTCCTGACCACAACCCTGCGTGTCAACTGGTTCCATCAGCGGATCGCAGAGGGACTCGTCCACCGGTTGACTATCCCTTCTTCGCACGCAGGCCACTCGTCTCGACTGAAAACCTTCGAAGCAAAGACATTGTCAAAGATCTCTTCTCCGAATCTTTCACGTTAAGCGAGGAATTCAAAATGGAATATTTCGTAACAAACGAACGAAAGTGGCGAGTAAATTAATACACGTGGATCTCGTCGGTTGTCTTTCGTGTATCGAAAAGCCCGATAATGGAACGCGCGTTATTTGCAAAATGATCCGTTCCGCGTAAGCTGAAAGGAAAGCATGTCAACTAATAAATATGTCCGAGCGGTCGAAGCTTCCGGTCGCTCGCAAATTATCCTATCGCATTTAGAACCGATATAGCTCGGAGCTGCGCGGCCTATCCGATTATTAATCGCATTTACTGTGTGTTTAGGTAACGATATTAATTTCGGAAACGCTACCTCCGCCGCAAGTCGCGCTGCAGCTTGAAAATTCGTCGGTTATCCAGGTGTAGCTGTCAGCGTCGGTCTGATGGGAGAATTTCTTCGGCATACTGTACTCGTAATGGACGCCCACGTTGTGGTCTTGGTAAAGTAACTGCGAACAACCACACGTTCGAAAATGTTTGCCAGCCAGAGTAGTAAAAATAACAATACACCAATTATAAATCGTAATTCGAGGGGTACACGATGGTACTTTTCAGGGGATTTCAAAATTCTATCTTAAGCTCACATTTCATTACAGTCTTAACTTCGATATGTAATTTTTATATAAATATTCTTCCATGAGAAATACAATTTTCTCCTCCTTTGGTTACCTGGTTCCATGGCTCGTAATAACAATAATTGTAACAATCTGTGCGTTGAGACGCGGCCACTTACCACCACGTAAATTGCTTCATACGTCGGTCCCAAGGCGGTGATGATGTCGGGCGCCGAGAAACCTTGCGGATCTCTCGAATAATGGAATATTGTACCAACGAATTTCAGGCTCCGTGGAAAGTCTATCCTCCAGTTCCCGTTCAGGTAATAGTGACCAGTCGTGTTTCTAATGGCTACGGGAATAAATCTGGTTTAAGTACCGACAGTGATCCTCCCTGTCAGTTTCTGGCTCGATAACAACAATCCGGGCTACCGGATCGCTTTCGCGACATTCGGGTTCACTGACCTAAGTAATTGTTCGATGGTTCCATCTCCCTCACTACTATGTTCGTTGCTCCTTTCGGTATCAGCAGGATGTCGATGTACCCTGCGGAAGAGTCGCTTACAAAAGTTACCGTGAAATGTTAAAACGCAGTTGCATGTATCCGGGGGAGAGTCGAGATGCAGTAATAAGGGGGGCTACTTTTATTTAATCGTCATCCACGCGAGTCAAAGTGCCATTCAAAATACTCGATTTTGTTTCACATATTCGGGGTAACAATCGTTTCACTAATATGAATGGAATCAAGTATTGGTTTGGGTTGTTAATGGACAACGTACCGACTTGGAGATCATCGGTATCGAATAAACCGGAGATCGTGTTGCAATCGGAACCGTTGCCGCCGCACTCCCTGCAAGCGTCTTCCTGAACGGTGCTTCCCAGCATCATGTCGCAACCAACGTGCTGGCAATCAAAGCGAATTACCATTGATTCGTCGATCGATATCGCAATTTACTTTATCGAACGTGTCTCTTTATGGCGTCCATAAAAGGACAGGGACTACTTATCGAAGGTCTCTTTACTCGAACATTCCATCTCTTCGAGGATTAAAATTTTGAGTCAATATAATATCTTAACGATGTAATCACGAAGGTCAAGAGGGATGAAAATTTTCTGTTAGTAAATTGTTCCAGCAGTCTATAATTATCGTAGGGGCAAAATGGAGAAGACAACGGCCATCGGGGCGATTCCGTCGCAATGAATCGTGGAATCGTTAACTCACCATACATTTCCCTTCGACGCAAACGTCGTTTTTCTCAGGTTCGCACGGCGTGCCGTCGATCACCGACGCCTTGTGCCTGTAGAAGAAACGCTCGCCGCGCGGCATGCAATTCAATTCGCACTTGTTCGGTCCGCCGGTGTAAGGGATCCAACTGCGAGAGAGCAAACGATTTTGCGCGATTAGTTTCGCCCGCGAGACGTTCGAGCCGGCGATCCGATAATCGCTATCGCCGATAGAACGATTTCTTTCCTCGTTTGTCACCCCCGGGGGGAAAATTCTTGACGTTCGAATGGAACGCGTGTTTCGTACATTCCGCTCCCTCCACAATCAATACACTCTAAAACCGATTTTCTCCCGATGGTTAGATTAAATTCACTGAAGCAACAAACACCAAATTTCGATGCTTCCTTGGAATAAATATATTAGATATATTTCATCTACTATTAATAATTTAATGTAAAAGCGACCATTGGGTCACATTTTCGATACTCACTCATAATAAATTCCCTCGAACGGAACTCTGTTGTACGCGGCGCATTGGTCCGACCGGAAGTCCTTCGCGTCTTCGGGGCACTCCTGAACAAAGAAACAGAAAACTGGACGTTGAGATGGCCCTACAACTTTCGACGTCCGTACACATCGTGCAGACTCCGTAATAAAAGTAAAAGAAAGCTATCGAGTCGAACGAACTCTGCGCAAACGCGCGTCAGCTCCACGATGAGTGCTCGCGAGCATGTTTGGCGCGAGCCGGGAAGACAAACTTAATTACCTCGATGCTCGACTCGTTAATAGAAAAGTCCAGTTGTGAGGCGATATCTCGCGTCCCCGAAATAAAAAATAAAAAAAAAAAATACGCCGGTTTTACGCGTCGACGCTCGCGAGCGTTCGGGGTAAATTGGAACGTGGATCTCGGCGCTAATTACTGGATCGCGAACCTGCTCCACGTGGACGGAAAAAACCACGGCGAAAGCGCTCGAAAAGCTAGCGCGTTCGCGGACCCAAGTGGCCCGTGTCGTGCATTTCTTTCTTCCCCTCTTTCGTACGCGCGAGTGCATTTCGCCACACGTGTTCCTGCGCGAGAGTCGGAAATAAATTGTGCCCGTGGGGAGGGGCCCTCGCTCATGAAGAATTATGCTCGCCGGAGAGAGACATCGACGAAGATTGGAAAATGTGTCTCCGCCGCGCCCCAAGGGTGGCTCGAACAACATCGAGATGCGTCACCGATGCTCGTGAATTTAATAGATTTTTGGCACCAAACGACCCCTCTGTTTATTTTTTTCTCGACTACTTTATTCACCAGACGAAACACTGGGTATGCAAGCAAAATTTTGTCGTCGAAAATTGTTAGCAACGTTCGGGAATATTAAAACAAGTAGAAAAGACGCGCGATGGTCAGACGGTCCTGGCAATTAAACATTGCCTTTGAAGTGGCTGGAAAAATAAATCGATTCGAGATCATAAATCGGGAGCTTCTTCGACACGTACGTCGCCTAACATCTTGATGGAAGTCTCTAGCCTCGCGAGACAGTTTCCGTTATTCAATTCCGATCTCTATTTAACTTTCCTCAACCTGTTCTGATCCAACCCCGAATCTATTTTCGCGTCCCCGATCCACAGTCTTCAGATCCGCGTCAAGGGGAACACGAAAAACCTATATATATCTTCCCAAATTGAATCGAACCGATTGGGACCGTAAGATTTTCTCAACTATTACGAAAGTGCAACGTTTGATTTGAACTCGTGAAATATGTAAATAATTGCATTCCGTTAGCTTCGCGACAGAACGATCGATGGGAAACGTCTCGCCAGGGGTTGTACTCGCACAAGAGGACACGCATCGGGTATTCTTTACGGAACAACTCTACCTGTCCCGAATCGAAGAATCCCTGGATGTTAAAAAGGGTTAACAAGCTACGCGACAAGAGCGGAATAATAAAAGGGATTCATCACGCTCAATTAATCAAACCACCCCCATTCGTTGGCCGTAACAACACAGAGACGGGAACGTAATTTCCCTCGCATCGATCCGGTGACCAAACAAGCAAACACCGTACCAATACTTCGGATGATATCACGCAGACCGAATTCAACCCCTAACGCGATCCTGGAGGCAAATACCCATCGTAGCCACGTTATTCCGCTTACCGATGCTCCGGGCCCAGAAATTCAATGGTACGGATCACAAAAACCACGGTAAAAAGTCATTGGAAATCCACGGTGGATCGTTGGAAAAGTCGTTTCTTGGGGTCGCTGGATTCCATCTTCGAACAAACATTTCTATCGGGGCGGAACCAAGGATTCTATATAAGGGGTTGGTATTTATTCTGGGAACGTTCGATGAGTAAAAATAGAATAAAAATGAATGTGTGAAGGTTTATTAATTAGTATGGCTGAAGAATGTTTCTTCCTTAAAGTCTTAGCGAGTAGCGAGAGTTTTCGTGGATTTTGTGAGACACAGAGAGAGTTTTTTGCGAGTCTTTGAGTGAACGTTGTATACCGTGCATTGGACTTAATTTTCTTGTGTTACATAATAAACTTCACTGCTTCTAAAAAGCCTCTCGATTAATTTATTACCTCGACAGCCATCCACGAGGGATTTACATAAAATAATTCCTATAATAGCGAGCTTTTGAAGACCAGAGAAACGAGGTATAGGATTGCATCTAGATTACTTATGTTAGCTCTGTATGTGAAAAATAATCGTTTTGAAAGTGAAAAAAATGGTGTAAATTGCCGTATTCAATTTTCAAGGCCCCGCGGCGCGGCGGAAAATTTCATTACCGCGTATTTCGGACTGGTCCGATCGGGGCGTGTGTACGCAACGTCGATAAATCGAGCGGAGGTAGAAAAGGAAGGAGTGTGTCCCAGCGGGACCGGGTACCACGCGCGAGGATACGCCTGCAGGATTTATGACGTAAGATTTCTTGCGAGGACACACCGCGGGGCGGAAGGAGGGTTGAGCGGCCCGGCGGGAAACGGGGCTGTTCGCTGACCGCAAAAAAACCGAAAAAATTCCAACGCGACCACCGAAACGATGCTGGATGGAGGGTGGGGGGAGGGGAATGAGAAACGTTGCCGGGCCGCGTGATTTATGGCGGGCCGCTTTTCCATCGGGATGCGAGCCCCGCGATTGACCTTGACGCTTATTCAAATCGATGGCTCGCCGGATATCGTTTCGGGGTCACCGAGATATCTCGCGGCGTCCATGGAGGTCCATTGTTTTCGGCTTGATTTGTCCTGGTCGAATGGGAGGATAGCAAAATCGGAGATCGATGAGGATCCATGACGAGCTGGACGAAAACGAAAACTGCGAAGATTTACCTTTAGAGTTTTTCATGGATGATCGAAGGGTGTGTTTTCATTTCTCGATGTATTTTGTTATCACTCAGAGTACTTTGGGATATTAGTAAGTCGACTGTACTCCTGGATGAAACGATCGATGCAATTTTTAACTTATGTACTTCATTATTTCTGTTGCGAGCGTCTATTACGAATTAACGTTAAGTACACACGATTAAAATGACTTTAAAGAGTTCAGGATGTCCTCGATGAGAAGTAAAAAATTGTTTCTCGATGTAATTGGGATCTCGAATCGGCGCAACCCCAGCCAGGGGGTGGATAAAAGTTGCTGAAAATGTGGGGATCGAGCATCTTTCATAAATACGCACCGAGGTTCCCCGCAATTACGACTCGTAATTAACGGTGGGCCTCGTTAAAGAAATCCGTCTTTCAGCCAGCCCCTTCGATCCCGTTTATTTCGTCCGCTATCTGGCTACTCGTCGAGGGTTTCATCCCGCCGGCGGAACCGAAGTCTCCCGAGAGTTTCTACCGTTCAATAATCTCTGTTTAGCCGGCGGGCATTGTTACTAATTACGAAATCTCGAGACAAAGGGACGGGAACAATGAGCTGTGTTCGCCGGAATTTTTGCAACGGCGCGCAATTCGCGCTGAAACGGATCGCCTCGTTTGATTCCAAAGTGGCTGGCCCGCGGTACTACGGTCGTTCAACCCACGGAATATTCTTGACAAACGGCGTCGGGCGATATTATATTGTCAACGTGGTGCCCGTTGCCTCTCGTTTCGAGATTGAAAGCCGGAGAGTAACGTTCCGGCGAAGTGCAGCTTCTTAGGATCGCCATTCATCGTTTTTGTGTCTCGTTCGCGTTAAAGGATTCCCGCCAATTTCTTATTGCGAAAGTAGAGTGCCGTATTTTATGTTCGGACAGTTGGCAGTCTGAGTATGCTCGGTTTGCTTCTATACGATTCCTCGGATGAATAGTGACATCTTCAATCTCGGGTCCCGAGGAATGAAATAAACTTTAACTGTCTGTATACAAGGTGTTCGACCAAAAATTTGAATGGGAGACTCAATTTGTTGATTGAGACTTCGTTAAAAAGTTATTAACGTTTAAAATTCCATACAGACCGGAAATATTATATTTTAGCGAGAAAAAAAAATTTCAAATCGTTCTAAAAAAATTATTTTTAGTTAGATGGGTTAATTACAATCACTTTTTGCCATTATATACAACCCCGAAATTTTACGCACTTTTGAGAAAAAAATTCAATAAGTGCAGAAATTTTTCGGCAAAATTAAATAATTTCAAGTCGTTCTAAAAAAATTATTTTTAGTTAGAGGGGTTAATTACAATCATTTTTAGTGAATACACATACCCCGGAATTCCTGCGCATTTTCGAGAAAAAAATTCCTTACTGAGAATATAATGTCTGATCATGAATACCTGAATTCCCTGAAATTCCATGTGTATGTTTAAAAAATCATAACTTCTGAACGGATTGGAGGATTCTAATGTTACAAAATGCAAACAACGCGTATTTTGGTTGAGAATATTTAGAAATTCCAAAAATTTTCGAAAAGTTGTTCCTTAACTCCGTAAAATGAGAAAAACCCCATAAAAATGGTCCAAATTTTCAAACGATCGTAACTCCTACAATAGTGAATATATTTCAATGAAACTTTAGGGGGAAATAGAGCTCATAAGTACTTACAACTTGTCTGCAGTGTGTCAAACAAATATATCAAAAATCGAAAACCAATTTTAAAAAAAATCGACAGTGGGTAGCTGCTGAAAATTGCTGGAATGTTAGTAACCTAGGATTGGATATCGACTGTTTTTGGGCGGATCGGTAATCGATATCTACGAGCAAGAGTCTCGTTTAGCACGTCGCCGTAACGAAGTTAATACTTCGCGGAGTCGATGCCGCATAATGGCCGGTCGTTCATAAATTTTAGCATCTCCGACAGTGCGCCGCTGCAGTATCGCTCGAACAGCCCATATTGTTGCGTTCGAGGACCATTAAAGGACCCCTAAGCCAAGCAGGATTTTCGACGGACCCTCCGTGTCCTAACGAGCTCTCGCGACGATAAAAGATCCACCTGCTCGCGAAAACAACTTTTTCTCCCATTTTCTTACAACGTACGATCGAAAAATCGAGGACCCTAACTGTTATTACCGAACCAGACTAGTTATACAACATGAATTTATATATTCTCGGCTAAAAAGTGATTTCAGGTACAAATAAAAATCCAACTTGCATCCGTTGGTTTCCTCGAGCTTTCGCGTCTCGATCTCTTCGCGATGGACGCTTCGCTTCGGACGCGGGGAGACGCGAGAATTATTTAACCGAGCCGATTTACCAGAAAAGTGACTCGAAACGAGATCGAAATAATTTTATAGGGGCTACGTGACTTTCGGGAGTACGTTTGCGCCATGGATCCGGCCCTATGAAGAAACAGCGAGGGCGAACGGAAATGGTTCTGTTCTGGAAGTAGTTCTACGTTCTACGTGGGTTAGATCGAATGTTCGTGACTCGGGTAAATTAAATTAAAGACGAGGGGTCGGTGGTTCGATTGATAGAAACCGTGTACGGCGAACATCGATGGGACGCAACTTCAATTACGGAAGAAGAAAGGATCCGGTGGACCGTGTGCGTCGCAAATTAATTTTTAATATCGAATTCCCGGAGCAATCCGTTTTTTCGTGCGTCGAAAAAGTGTTCCGTACGATCATCGAAATCAATTAAGAACCATAATGATTCCGGTCGGAAATGCGGGGAATTTCAGGGATGAAAGGAGCACGGTCGAATCGATACAGGAACATTTTTATTAAATATTTAGCGTTCGCGGAATGTTGGGAATGTTTAAGTATCGGATACTTTCACCCCTTCTGTGTTGCATTTAACGATAATAATTCCAGAATCGCGTCCACCGTGCGCTTAATGTCTCGCTGTTGGAAAAGAAACTTCGTCGAAGCCTGCAGTTGACGACCTTTCGGTGATTTACAGGTAGGTTCAAAATACGTATCATGAAATTCTGCTCCTCAGAATTAATAAAAGAATAATTATGATATCAATTTTACCATGAGTGATGTAATGGTAGTGTCAAAGATCGACTTGGTGAAATATGTGAAATGATATATCAAACGAAACCTGAAAGTTTCGCGACAAATTACGACCAGTTTGAATTAATTTCGTTAGATAGTTTCTAATTGGACACGAGTTAAAATGAATATAACGCAGGAACACCTTTGTCGGCGTAATATAGCCTCTGGAATTTGTAGAAACACACAGAAAATACACGAATGGGAACTGTGTACCAATGTGCTCAGATTCTGAAAAGGTTTGTTCCTGTATACTAGTGAATCATGGTTACGTATTCTACACGCTATTGACCGTACCCAATTTAGAGGAGCTATATGGAGGCCCGGAGAGAATGCCCTTGAATAGAATTTAGATTCACTGATCAGAATTTTGAATGAAGGTTTCACCAATGGTCAGGGAATTCGTATCACGCGAATAACATTTCCATCGTTGGAATTAAATTTATGATAAAAATGAATTTCACTAGCATCGTGAACATTGTTAATAACAAAGTCAAATAGACTGAAACGTTCCTAGCTTTTTCTTCCAAGAACTCGAGGAACCCATTTTGACAAATTTCAGAACTAATAAACCTATGCAGCTCATACTTATTTATCCCTATATCGAGTTTCCCCAATTTTCTAAAATACGCCTAAATTCCACGGCTTTTGGATCTCTCCATACGCGAGTGTTTACGATTGCAGCCTGGAGGTCCTGCGGTTTCCGCTTCAACATTGTTTCGAAACCCACCCCCGGAGTATACTCGAACAGGATTCCGCGAAAGACGATCTCCTCTGCCTCGATAAAGTTTTAATCCCCCCGTTGTGATCAATGGCGTCGATCGAACGAAAGGCTCGCGAATATTGTCGCGTTTCCTATATATCTACCTGCACGCGGAATTTTACGGCGTCCCCGTGACCTCGTAAACTCCATCCGCCTCGAACACAACGGCGGGCATGGTTCCAGGAACCGGTTGCTTGTCAGAGGCCGTTTAACCCTTTGTTTCGCCCCGATTATTAATCGACGATTCCACTTTATTTCCACGACGTCAGTCTCTGCTGGCGTTGAAAGCGTCACCCGCAGAAACCGCGCGTTTGCACGCCATTTTTTACTTCCCGCCGCCGTGAAAGAATTTTATTCTCGGTCGGGTAAATGCACGAAGGAAATCGAAAACGGAATAATCGTGCAATATAAATTCTCGCGATGGAATATAATTCTAGAGACTCAGACCTCGTGGTACAGTAAACAGAAACGTTAAAGAACCAACGAAACCAACGATTAAAATTATTTTGATATGTTCCAACTTCGTACGAAGCGACGAAAATAGTTTGGAAATTTGAAAGAATCGCGAGGGGCGTACAAAGGAATCGTAAAGCCGTTTTCGACGGGAAACTTATATATCGAAGTCGCGTCGATCGCCGGTTTAATCGATCATCGAATCAATTTGTCAAAATCACCTGAGCCGCGGGAGAAAAGGAACGAGATTACCAGCATCGCGTTGATTAAGTGGTTTTAAATGAAAGTTTGACGGGTCTCGGCGCGAAGAGTAATGCCGGATCGATTGGAGTTAAAGAGTAGAAAGAGAGAAGACGGCCACCGATAAAGAAACAAAAGTTGTTTCAGTGGGCCACACCGTAAACGATAGGCATCCTCGAGAGTCCCGCGGGTTCAAAGTTCACGCAGGCTGCGGCTGACATTTAACGAACGGAATTAAATAATGATATAAATCATTTTATTAAAGACCGTCGAACCGTTCCACGGGGAAATTGTAATGCTCAAAGGTTAAGGACAACCGCCACGTAGCATAAATTCATCCACCCTTTATCCTCGATCAGAAATTATATTTCCTTAATCAATTGCAAAGGACTGAGAAAAAAACGAATGGACCTTTCGATTTTACGAAATTTCTCGATGTTATTATGCATCCGGGGGTGTATCTATTTAAGGCTGATGATGTATTGAGACATCCCTAAATCCCTAAGTTTTTATTTAAAAAAATAAAACAAAATTTATTTTGTCGTTCGGAGTAGGCCTTTTTTAAATCTGAAAAAAGTGAATATTCTGTTCGAAGATGTCTATAAACGAAGGACAGGACTACCAGATTCGATTCATTGATTCTAGTATGCGTGCAGATGCGAATAATTGAAGCCCGCGTCACGCGTCGATGGCTCGACGCCTCTTGATAGACTGTCAAGCTGTTCGATCTATTAAAGCAAATCGCATAAATCATCCACTGTTACACGGCAATTAATCAAGTTCTAGTACGGATTCGATTCACGGTTGCGAACCGATGGTTGGATTTTCGGCAGAAACGGAGGAACCATTGCCAGCCATGGACCATTCTAGACCGGCAAACATCAAACTATAACAAAACGATCTATTATTTAATCCTTCCATACGCAAACGTTTCGGTTATACCGGTGTTATAATAAATCTTTAAAGTTGGAGTTCTACCTGTATTCGACTCGAATTAGAATTCTTTTAATTAAACGTTCTTTCCACCATTATCCGTTGCATTTGTAACAAAAGAAACCGATGTGCATTGAAAAGAAGAGAAATAACGTTCGCTGCGCCTAGATCCGGGCACGGTGGATTTAAATGCGGACAAAGAGAACTCGTTTCACCGGCTAATTATTTTTCATGGAATTTTTATGACGTTTATTATCGCCATGTTTCATAGACTCACCTGGATGTTGCAGGAGAAATATCGCCTCGATGCACCGGTACACTTGTTGTAGCCACTGTCGCTGCAACAATAAAACGTTCTTACAGAGTTTCCGCCGGGATCCATTTAAGCGGGGTCAGGGAGACAAAGACAATGAAACTTGGACTTTACGAGGAAAGTGGATAATCCCAACTTGGGGATCTTAAGAACAAAATGTTCAAATTTTAAATAAAATTTTCTATTTTCTAATACGAGCCATACCCTTATACTTTGCAATAGTAAAAGTTGCAATTGTCTGAATAATCGCCTTCTTCGTGGAAATTCGCTCCAAAATTTATTTACTCGAGCGACACGAGCGTACGAATAAACGAATGGCGCCTTCCCTGCTTACGTCAGTATTTCCCGATCGATTCGAATCTCGATCGCTTGGCGTCAGATCCGACATCGAGCGTCGAAACGCGACCGTTCGTATCTCTAATCGGGAATTCACACTCCGTTAAATCGCGCATCGGGCGTGCTTCCTCGTTAACGGGCTTCTTTCGAGGAAGCACGAAGGAAGAGCAGAGCAACGAATTTTTTTTTCGCCCCGTAAACCACCAACAGCTCGCTCCGCGGAGGAAAATCCCGGGGAAAAAGCGCGCTACGCGCTCGGTTTCTCAATAATTCCCGCGCCCTTTCGGACAGATTACATTTACCCGTCCCCGTTGCAATGAAATGCGAGAATCTAACCCAACGAACGCTACATATTGCTGGGGAAAATATTTCAAACGCTATATTTATTTTTTTAAGTAGAATTTCAAAGTTCGAATAGGATCAAATCAGGTAATTTTCAGATTTGTGCTCTTTTTATAAAGAGTGAGCAATAATTGGTGGGGCAAGCGGCAATGTGGGCGTTCTATGTGAAAAAGTGAATCGGAAATGTAGAATAAAATTTATTTGTGAGACCCTTCGTTTTCGAGAAAATTGATTTTGAAAATTCGCGAGGCACGCGTCTGACCATTGCTCGATATTTCTACTTAGATTAGTGTTTTTAAGGGTTGATCGTGGTATGTTAGTATATTTTTCGTTGGTTGTACTGTTTTCTAGTCTACTGGAACTAGTTAGTGGATATAAAATTGTATGAACACGTAAAAAACACAGTCTGCAGTAGAAATAGCGAATATTGATCAGACACTTTAGACAAATCATACTCGATCGTATATTTATTTACTGTTCCAAAAACCCTGATGTAAAACTGTGTATAGAATACTTCAGGGCTCATAATACGTACAAAGATTTCTAAAGTAAGTTATTTGTCTCGATTTCGTTCCCGGCGTTAACACAATAATGACAGTGATTCGTTTGTTTTCGACGATACAGGGAATAAGTTAATTTCGTCGCAGCTCGAGACAGCATCCGTTAAAAGTACGATTTATGGAAGTAAAATTGCGAATAATTACCGGGTGTAGAAATTACACCCGTTTCATTAGACCGGTCACGACGCGATATTAGTCTAATAACAGGCTCATGGGGGGGTGGAATTAATTTCAGAGCCTCCGCGCGCGGATGTTGCGCTTCGATATCGTAAATTGAAAAGACCTGTAAACGCTGCACGATCAAAGCGCGTCTACGCGATCGAGCGTGTCTGACCTCCGACCCCGCACGCTCGATACCACGAAATTATTTCTCCCGTTAAATGCCTTCGCGGGCCGATTAGGCCGCTTTCTCGGCCCGTGCAAACGTGTTATTAGCTACGGGGCACACTCTCGATTTCGCCTCCGATCCACTCCGTTTTCCTCCTTTCCCGCTTTACGCAATCGCGATCGTTAAGAGATCTTTCCACCACAGGCACTGAAAAAATCTTTCATCGGCTACGTATCGAGGAACACGTGGAACATTTAGAATTCTGTGGATGAGTCAAATAATCCTACGTGGAATTATTTTCTACAAATAATATAGTGAACAGACGATAGAGTGAAGTGTGAAATCTGGAATCAATTTTATTTAAATATTCCAAAGTTCGTTAAGCCAGCGTTAAGAGGATCCAGCGTAAAGATCGTGAGCCTGCAACCATACCATAGGGTTAATCGACCCTATCCGGTGGTCCCTTCGCAACTAGGACGCGTAAAAATTCCGCAAGATAGCGTGCCACGACAAAAAGCGCATAAGTAGTCGCGATTAATCTTGGCCCCGGCCGTCAGATAAGAAGGATTTACCGCGATTCCGTGTTGGAAGTTCCGTCGTCCCCCGTCAAAAATCCCGCCAGCGGGCTCCTCGAAGCGTGGAAACCTCGTCGGAGGCGGTCGGATTGAATTTAAGGAAAGCCATCTTCGCCGGGAAATGACGGAATAAAAAATTAATTTTCCATTAGTCGAGCCTCGGGGCGTCTTCCGGGTCCTCGGGGTCACGGATTCCTCGTCGCGGCCCTACCCGGTCCGTTTATGTTCTAATTAATATTAATACGCCCCGGGAAAAGTCTATGAATATATTCGCGGCCGGAAAATAATCGGAAATCGTCGGGGAAAATTAATTTTATCGAGTGTATTCTAATCACCTTCGATATTTCATTCGCTCTCAACGATATAGTAATTTATTGCGTTAATTTTAGATTAATAATCCAGGTTGGATTAAACCCCTGGACTGGACTGGATGTCAAGTGTCACGATCATGAGGCTACTAGCTCATCACGCATTTTTACATTCACGAGATATTGGTAAAAATTCTTTTTCGTGGCCATTCCTTGTACGAGCAAATTTAAGCAAAATTAAATAGTATACGTTTGAAAAATTAAATTAACCCCTTAACGCTCATATTTTTCGTGTTGACCAAGAATGATCAGTTTTCTTTATTGGACTTGTTTCTAAGCTATATAAAAATGCGATTATTATTAATTACAATGTTGTATTTAACGTATAATATGAAAGAAAACAAAACATTGTCATTCCTTAAATCATTAGATTAAACAAATATCGTTTTTCAAAGTAGTCAGACTCGGGCATGAGCGTTAAGGGGTTAATCGATGCAGAGGCACAAATGTATGTTCTAATAAAAAGAATCAGCATCCTTGGCTCCCAGAAGTATGAGAAAATGACAGATGAAGTTAGAACTTACTCTATGTCGAGACACTGTCTAGTCTGATGAGCGACACCGCCCCCGCAGGTCCTGGAGCAGGAGCTGGAGGAGGACCAGGGTCCCCAGGTTCCACGGTCGGGCTCGTCCGTGTCGAGGACGAAGCTGCTCGGCTGATGGTTCTCCCCATGCTGTCGACGATGTCTCTCGTGCCTCAATTTTATATGATGCTGCAACAGGATCGGAGGAACGAATTTATAGCGATCCGTACGAAGCGGTAAGTGGTGTCTCGAAGGTTGTAACCGAGTCGCGAGGTGGATACTCCGTGGCGTGGGAATGCGAGAGAGGAAGGTTTCACGGTAAGTGGTCCCTTATTCACCTGAGGTCTACCTGCGCGGATTGCAATGGGAGCATGGGTGACCTTCGCGGGGAACAGCGTAGGCGTGATCCCCTTATCGGTCTGGTTCGATAAGGTATAGGCTTTTAGCCGTGATGAACGGCCCGCCGCGACAGAACCCAAACGTGAATTACGTTATCGTCCGACGCCGAGTATATTTTCGACGGCTTTACCGGGTAACGTTCGCGGAAGCGTGCCTACGATTCCCTGGAATTTCTGTGAATGCGTTCGCGCGAACGTTCTCACGTCATTGTGCCAATTTCCGGCATCGTTGCGCGCAGGGTGCGTACAGGATTACCCACTTAAAGGGATCACTTCAGCGCGAAACTTTTTCAGACTCGCAATTTGCAAGGTTCAAATTGGTGGCCATTCTTGACATGTACCTTTCGATACAGTTCTATTATTATTACAATACAACTAAAATCGCATTTAATTTGCAAATTCCTCTGCAACCACGTTTCGAGCAATGTGTACCGAAATTTGATTTTCTATTAGAGAACAGGAGACAGAATTGTTATCGTTAATCGTTTAATAGTTCAGGCAGAGGGAAAGTCGCGCTAGAGAAAATATTGCACGGAGAATGGTTACCCCCCCTGGACGGGTTGACCCAGAAAGGGGAACGTTCAGATTAATATCCAAGCAAATGGAGCGACAATCGTGCGATCTTGGGGAAATCTGCTCCCGCCCGCAGGTTTACCTCGCTTCCACCGTCCTTAAACGAGAATTCATATAACATTTCAATGGTCGGCTCCTTCTGGCGAGGTTCCAAAGCAGTTTGCATCCGTTGTAAGGCGCGAGCACGGTGCCCGAATAAAATTATCGGCCACTGGCTTTTTGTTCTTCGACCTAGCCAGATACCACTCTCGCCGCCGTTTAACGATCGCTATCGGTTCCTACCAGGACGAGAACGTCGCGAGTGTCGTCTTTGGTTTGGCAAACATAATCATTTTGAGACGCTTGGGAGGTGAAAGAAAATATTTACCGATGATATCCGGCGTTTAGAACAAAATTAAATCTATATTTCATTAGAATTCATATAGAATATAAGGAATTAAAACTATTCTGAACTAGCACGCTAAAATCGTCCATGATTCCGACCAGACCACAGTTTCGTAAATGCTACACACGCGTATAAATCACAATTAGATTAATTAATGAATGGATTGACTGCATTCGATCATGCTGTACTACGTGTAACCGATGCTTGATCAGTAACCCCATCCCTATAAATTCTGATGCATGCTATTTAATCGTATCACAATTATTCGTCGTTTCTTATTCGAACGACAAAATTAACAAAAACCATTTACAAAGTTAAATAATCATTCTTTTCTACCAACCCTGTTTGCCCTCAAAACCTTTGTCTTACTTTTTTAACTGTTTATACAAAAGTGATTTGATAATCCATTCGCTCGAATATACTTCAAAGGCTACAATTTTTATCTTTATAAATAAACCATGCAAAAAAACTTTATAATAATATACCATTGAAATACAGTTATTCTATACGAAACAGTGAACAGAAAAGATCCTATAAAATTTGTTCGTACGACTCTTTGTTTTCGAGGAAATCGATTTTGAGAATCAGCGGAGCACGCGTTGCGATTCAGTACGTCTGACCATATCTCGATATTTCTACTTACGTAGATGTTTTTAAGCATTGATCGCGTTCTGGTATTGTATTATCATCTGTTGTCGATCCTATTGTGTACCAACTAGTTAAAATTCATCGAAACAAACAATGCAGCGTCAACGTCAACGCGCCTGTACACAATCGCAAGTAGAAATGACGAATAATAGTCAGCCGCGTTAAACAAGCTTCGACGTCAATTATCTCGAAAACAAAGACTCGTATGGAAAAACTTTATTCTATATTTTCGATTCATTTTCTCGTGTAGAATAATCGCCAATTACAGTACAACCCGAATATCCGTTGTAGGTATCCAGATATTCAATTAAAGGAAGCAGAATAACATCCGATACAGTATTGGGGCATTATTGGCACAGTACTGATTCGTTTTTTGTTAAATTTACCATTTAGCTGTTGAAAAATAATATTTGTGATATGCCTGAAATCTTCCACCATTTAACTATGTTTTTTTTTGCCAGAATTCAAAAAGAAAATAGTATTTATGCCCTGGTCCACGAGACTCATGATCCTTGTAATTTTAAAAGAGCAGAGTTTTACAATATAATAGCTAGATTGTTTTATAACTTTATTGAAAATAAAGGGGCGTTAACCCTTGTAGTTTTCAAGCGTTGATCAACGATCCAAGGTACCGGTGGATCGAAAATGTTGTTGGTCAAAGTCTGACCGAGGGAAAGGGGTATTTCGACATTATCGCGAAACTTGTGCCCAAGCCTCGTATCCACTTGCCCCAGATTATTGGTCTTCGAAGGGAGTTGGAGTTGTTGGTGGCTGGAAACTTGTCCCGCGGGTCGAGTTAACCTCACGGGACAATTTGGAAAGTTTCCTGATCGAAGTGTATCTCCGGCCGATAAATAGCCGTGATAAATGAACCTGGAGGCTCGTTCATTTTTCACCGTCTATATTAAATTTCTTGTCGCGAGGCTGCGTCGAGTATTTACGACGCTCGATCGAGACGCGTCGCGAGCAATCCCTCCTCGATATCGCGGAAAGGGAACGGGTCAACCTGGAATTGGCTCGTTACTTTTGATAAATGCATCGATTTTGCAAAAGGGCAAGGTGCAACTAGATACCATTTATATATCAAAAATATGTTCGTTCTAAATTGTAGAAGCCACGAAACACTTAATTTCGACGATTACTTTGTACGATTGAATTGAATGTTATCGATTTTACTGAACGCGACGAGGTGCATTTTAAATCATTTTATTTTCGATCGCTGACGACGCACGCGGAAAGCAAGACAACAGTATCGTTTTCCGATAAAGAACGAACAAAGTTTCGTCGTCTTGCTCAGCCCCGGATAATTGTTCTCAGAATTGTTCCGTGTATCGAGAAAACCAATTTAAACTTCAACCGTGTATCGACGACTACTTTACATCCGAGTAATTAATGGACCCGAGGAAAAATAGTCGAACGACGGTTCGTTTCGCCGCGGAGTCGCGTGATATTTAATCGAGCCGGATTTATTGCGTTTCCATTGATTATGCCACGTGGAACTCATCGGATTAACAAGTTACAGCATCGTGACGCCAGACGCATTAAATCATGTCCCTTACGTTCCAACTTTGATGGGATCGGGAAACGAGATTCTCGGAGAGTTACTTAATGTACTAGCCGTGTTTGAATAAATCTCGCACAGCGTTACGTTGCTTCGAGCTCGGAACGACGGAAATGTAAAAAATTTACAGAATTTACGTCTTAAAAAATTTAAAGCCTCCACTCGTTACTGCGCATCGACCGACTTGAAATGTTCAGAATTTGCTAAAACACTGTTTAATTTACTGCAGACTATTTGTGAGACATATATTTCGTAGATTATACTCTTTCGCGTTCATATAACGTTATACTTTCTTTTCGAACCGATTCCTATAATCGTGTCGTCGAAACGCGTTTACGTTAAAACACATTTTAATAACGCCCCCAAACAATACGATATTTTTCTGGCACGCGTTAAAGGTATCCCCGCATTTAGAATATTTTTAGTCGCGCGGATTCCGCGCACGTACCGTACGCGTTCCCTGAAATTTAAATATCCAATCCGTTTATGCACGTTCCACACACAGACGCTGCCAGGAACATCAATTACGTTACACTTCAAACAGTCCTCGTTCCATATACGCGGTACGTCCATCAAGAGACGATCGCGATATTTTAAAACAGCCTCCGCAGAAAAAAATCTTGGAACGCGAGTGTCCCCCGTCAAAAAGAGGAATTTAATTCTGCGGAACGGTCTGGCAGCGTGATTTGCATCGGGACGCGCGCCGCAGATGCAATTACATACAGTCCGTGTCGCACGTATGTATTCCTGCGACATTGCCCAAAAAGAATCCGCTCGAATCAACCGACGCGGTTCAGGGTTTCGCTACAAATCTTTTGCTTCCATTGTGCGTACGCAAACTAAATTTATTCGAAAGTAAAACCTGAGTAAACATTACCTGGTGCATACCAATTTTTCGCCATGTTATACAAAATATTTTAAATCGATAGATGTATAAAAAGGGGGTACTAAAAATCCCCTCGATCTCTGCATTCCTTAACAAATGTCCTATTTAAAATGTCTGAGGGGTGGAGCCCTGTCTCGAGGTTTTCTGGGCCCGTCACCGGGTGTCTAGAGCCCATCGGATAATTAGAATTCTAAAAGTAGCCAGGTTTATTAAGTTTGGAAACCATCGAGCTTCAAAGGAACGGTTTTTCTCCCGGAGTCGATGGATGGGCGGCGAAAAAATCAAGACCAGCCACACACACACACACATATATATACGGCTGTAAATAAGTTTCGGTCCTCGCGCGTTACAGCTGCGCGTACGTGGATTTTTGTCGAGCGTGGGAGAGAGCGCAGCTGCGCCCGCGGCGCGTTTCCGTGCGAAGGAAGCGCGCTGCGAGGCTTTTCTTTCTCGACGAGCATCTGCGCGGCCACGACGTGTCGCGTGGACCGTAATGTGAGAATATACGACGATAATAATGGCACGTCCGCGACGTGGGTGACTATAAAACCTTCTGGGCGCGATTCGCCGTCGCAAAACACCTCTCTGAGAGGTCCGCGCGCCGGGAAACAGATTAAACGCTCGGCGACGCTTCCACGAACGCTCGGCGAACGTAATTTATGCCACGAAGAATCTTACACGCTGCCTTTTTTATCGCGAGACTCGTGTCTGAGCATTGCGTAACGCCAAGTACTCCGG